GAAGAATAAAAGAGAGGAGAGAACAGAGAGAGTGGGTAAGAGACAGAGATGCCCAAGTACAGAAAAAAAGCATCATAAAAATTGTGTATAAGAGCAAAATTGTATCGCTTTACCCTACTTCTACTCTGATCAGGAATTTCAGAGCTTGAATTCAATTTCACACTTACAAACTATTTGGCAAAATAAGAATAGCTAATATTAATTATTGCTATTTTTTTTTAGTATTTACCATGTGCCTTAAAAAAGATAATAAAAAGGAAATCTAAAAGGAAGAATATGAAAATAGACCAAGCTTGTATCCATGAGAAAGACTGGAATAATACAGTCCCCCAAGTAAGGCAAATGAAAAAAATGACTTAAGGTAGAAGTTGAGAAAGTGGTACATGAAGAGGCCAACTCCACACAGGAGGTAGAGGAGTGGTATAGACACCTCGTTGCAAGGGAAGAATAAATGAAGACCAAGCTTCTGAAATTTGATGTTCATAGAAACCATGTAGAAAGCTTACTAAAATGCTTTCTGGATGTTGTCTCCAAAATGTCTCATTCTGTGATCTGGAGTGGGCCTGGAAATTACATGCAGGTGGCAGGAGGTAGGCAGATGGTCCATAGGTCACACTTTAAGAAATACAACTTCAAATAGAGGAGAGTACAGGGGGATCTACCCTCTTTTGGATCTTGGTCTGGGTAGGTTGAATGTGACTTCGGTGCATCATTTGGTCAACTGATTTGGGACACAGACCTTAAACTCTAATAATCTTGGCTTTGAAATGACCCAGCTTGTCAGGCAGGCTCTGTCACTGGAGGGAAGAGCTCCAACAGAAGATTATTAGTCTCAGAAAGAACCAGTTTTCTGCATCTCCTTACTGCTGGGGCCCACATAGAATAGAAGAGCATCCCCACCCTAAGCCGTGACAATTCGAGTGGCAAACAGCAAATGGAGGAGGACTAAGGAAATGTGTAGAAACAGATTTCCCACAGGAACAAATCATAAAGTAGGTGTAAGTGCTGAGAAGCTGGGAGCAAATAGCTCACCAGTATAATGGATGAAGTGGTGTTTTCAGTTTTTTCATTTTTAAAATTTTGTATGTATTGCATTTTAATTTTAATTCTGATGTATAATTCTGTAAAATATTTACATGGTTTCAAAGTTGAATCTATAAAATAAGTATGTTCAAAGAAGTCTACTTTTTATCCCTGTTCCCTTCACTCTGTTCTCTTCTTTCCTTTATAAAATTTAAATATATATATATATAAAACAAACATATATAAAATAAATATATATTAAATAGAGATGGGGTCTTGTTTTGTTTCCCAGGCTGCTCTCAAGCTCCTGGCTTCAAGTGATCTTCCCACCATGGCTTCCCACAGTGCTGGGATTACAGATGTGAGGTAACATGCCTTGCCCCCAATTTTTTTAATTGTTTATTCTTCTATTCTATTTAATCATAAGCAGATGTGTATGTTTGTATGTGTGTACAAATACGTGTGTATATATGTTATATATGTATGTATACATATATGCATACACATACATATACACAGATCTGCATACATATTTATATATGTATGTATATACACACACACATATACACACATGTATTATATTAGCCCTTTCTAGAATACACATTATATATATTTTCTCTAACTTAAATACACTTTCTTGACATTGCCACTATATAACATGATCTCTGTGGAGAAATGCATTTTGAATTTGCACTAACCAAATAACATAGTTTTAAAACACAGGCTCCTCATAATTTGGTGCTCATATCAACTTCGTTCAACAGTATATTCACTCAATAAACATTTACTAAATAACTATACTGGGTCTGGGGCAGTTCCAGGTTTTGTGAAATCTCAAACCCCTGTTATATGGCTTTATATAGGCCCTTCTATAAAGCCCCTGTTATATAGGCCCTTTCATTAATAAAAAGGGATAAAAACTCATGAATACATTCTAAACTATCAGTAAGAACCTGCCTTTTTTTTTTTTTTTGAGACGGAGTCTCCTTCTGTCGGCCAGGCTGGAGTGCAGATTTGTGGTCTCACTATAACCTCCACCTCTCAGGTTCAAGCGATTCTCCTGCCTCAGCCTCCTAAGTGGCTGGAACTACAGGAGACCACCACAATGCCTGGCTAATTTTTGTATTTTTTTTTTTTAGTAGAGACAGGGTTTCACCATGTTGGCTAGGCTGATCTTGAACTCCTGACCTCAGATGATCCATCTACCTTGGCATCCCAAAGTTGTGGGATCACAGGTGTGAGCCCCCATGCCCTGCCCAATGTACCATCTTAGAGGCCAGTAGGAGCTTTGCCAGCTTTGTGGACAATCGGTTTCTAAATGGGCCTGTTATAGAAACTGTGCTTGTGGCTGGTGCACAAGCGGCCAGGACCCCTTGTTTTATGGAGCTTATATTGTAGTGCAGGAGAGAGATAATAAATATATATGCTTGCCATAAATATATAATTATAAATTGTGTTTAAATCCTGGTTATGGGCTGAACTGTGTTCCCTCATATTCATGTCGAAGTTCTAAGCCCCAGTACTTCCCAAAAAGACTGTGTTTAGAAATCGGGTCTTTAAAGGGATGATTAAGTTAGAATGAAACCATCAGTATGTACCTCAATTCAATAACACTGGTGTCCTTTTAAAAAGAGGAGATTAGAACACACCCATATAGCAGGGAAGACTGCGTGAAGACAGAGTAGGCAGCCATCTGCAAGCCAAGGACCAAGGCTCAGAAGAAATCAACGCCACCAACACCTTGATTTCAGACTCCCAGTCTCCTATATTTCTGTTGTGTAAGCCACCCAGTCTGGTACTTTGTTATGGCAGCCCTAGCAGACTCATACACTCCCCTAGGAGAAAACAGTGTTTGAGAGACAGCATTGTCGGAGGAGTGGTGAGGATGCTGGCCAGAGAAGGCATCATCAGTGGATGCACAGAAGCTAACATACAAAGAGACTAAAAATGGTGAACTATGAGGAATAAGCAGATTAGCAGATGCTGTTAAGGGGTGAAGGAAATCAAGGTGCTTTTGTTTCACTTAATTATCCCATAGTCAACAGAACCAGATAGTTCTCGGGAGACAGTCTTTCTAAATTAACTACCATAGATGAAAGGCTAATCACAGACTCTGAGGTGTTGAAGAGCAGGAAGTTTAATTTTTAATTGGAAGACAAAATGTATTTGATATCATTTACATCCTGATTTAACGATAAGATATTTCTGAAGAAAATGAATATTATTAATTATGTAGCTCAAACACTTTTTAGAAAAAGAATAAAGGGAAGTTATATCCTGCTTCATGGCTCATTGAAGAGATTGTGGAAATTATAGAAACTGAATATGCAAAACCAAAAAAGCCAGAAGCATAGACTCTAATTAGTGAAGGTTAATTCCTCATATAAATTGCCTTAGCACAATGATTGTAAGCCCTTATGACACATTGGAACCATTTGAGAAGTATTTTAATAGTACCAGTGCCCAAATCCCATCACCAGAAATATAATTGATTTCAGGTGGGGACACAGTTATGGCATTTTAAAAAAGCAACCCAAAAGATGTTAATAGTTAGTCAATGCATTTCTTCAAGGTAAGGTACTAATAGACACCGACGCGCAGTAGCAATGATGCTGTTAAATGATAGGACACAAAACTCCAAGAGAAGTTCAAAGTGATAGTTATAGCCTGTGAAGGCTTCTAGTGAAGTCTTTTGTCCTTGCTTAGCCCGTGGTAAGCAAATACAAAAATCTGAATGATAAAATAACAAGTAAGTTTACCGAGCTGCACGTCTGGCCACTTTGTGAGGCTTAGTTGCTTTCCCACTAATCATCCTAGACACAATCCAGCTCCCTAAACCCAACATCTCTCTGACTTAGATCCATAGCCTCTTCTTGCTACCATTCTGTTCATTCTCAGTCTACCATCGTCCATAGTCCAGGATCCAGTCATACTCCATAGCCCAGAACCAGGGTACTGGTCCATAGGACCTATGACTTGGATCCATAGTCTGTTTATGCTACCCTTCTGTTCATTCTCAGTCTACCATCGTCCATAGTCCAGGATCCAGTCATACTCCATAGCCCAGAACCAGGGTACTGGTCCATAGGACCTATGACTTGGATCCATAGTCTGTTTATGCTACCCTTCTGTTCATTCTCAGCATTTGTTTGGTGCTTTCCACTTCCGTTTAACACTCTGTTCTCAACAAACCGTTTTCCTGATTGGTCAAAAGCCCTTTGAAGTCTATTCCTATCTTTGTCACATGAATCATTCCCCATTCCTCTCAACTGTATTCTCTAGTTAATAAAAGATACAATTTGATTCTAACACATTTCTATTATCCAAATGATTTTCATTTCTGCTTTCTTGTCTCACAGTCAAAAAGCAACACATTTCTTTCTCTGTTCCATATATATTCTATCATTCTCTTTGATAAAAAAATTGAACTATTCTTATTTTACATCTGTGATCAGAAAATAATCTGTCACATCACATATTTTTCATACCCAGATATTTATTCAACCATTTTCCTCAAAGACCCAATAAAATAGAGAACCACAGCCTATCTCAAATTAAAATGCATGGCTTTCTGGGCTATTTGACATGGAATATTTATTTGCAAAGTCTTTTCACCAAACATAGAAATTGCTCATGTCTGACCTTGGAGGAAATGAACTGTACAAAAAATTTCAAACAAACATGATCCAACTGTTCACACAAAAGGGGGGTTGCATAAGAAATTCATTGTGGTTCCATCCAAATTTCCCCCTCAAATTGCCACAGAATCAGCATGTACTTCACTCTTTGCCACCAATTAAAATCATAAAGAGATGAGCTTCTCAGCAGAGGAGGGCCGGTGTGCCCTCTCTACAGATGGTCAGCATCACATGCTGCCGTAATGGCTCGACACGCCAGAAAGGCACAGTATAAAAATGGTGGGCATCAGAGCACGTCAGCTCCAATTACTCTATGTTTAGAATTGCCTCTTTTTCAAGATGGATTTCCTTCACAGGAATGAAGTGCTCATAATTCAGCAATTGCAGAAGGACTACCAAGCTTATTACAATTTTCTAAACTTTATATCTAATGTTGGAGACCCCCGGAATATCTTTTTCATTTATTTTCCTCTTTGGTTTCAACTTAATCAGACAGTTGGAACCAAGATGATACGGGTAGCAGTCATTGGGGATTGGTTCAATCTTATATTTAAGTGGTAAGATTTCTGTTTTATTTCATTTTTCCTAAAATTTATCCTTAAATTTGTGGCTTTGGCATAATGATCACATTTCAGGTGTGTATAGTTTTACTTGGAAAATCTTTCAAACATACCAGTTAACTTGAAACACCATATTCATAAGTAGAACCTTTAAAAAGCACAGAAATGTATACTTTTTTTGAGATGGAGTTTCACTCTTGTTTCCCAGACTGGAGTGTAATGGCGCAATATTGACTCACTGCAAACTCTGCCTCTCAGGTTCAATTCTCCTGCCTCAGCCTCCCGAGTAGCTGGGATTACTGGCATGCATCACCACAACCAGCTAATTTTGTATTTTTAGTAGAGATGGGGTTTCTCCATGTTGGTCAGGCTGGTCTCAAACTCCTGATCTCAGGTGATCTGCCCACCTTGGCCTCCCAAAATGCTGGGATTACAGGCATAAACCACCATACCTGGCCAGAAATGTATACTTTAATGACTTATAAGTAAATCCCAAACCACTGTAACACATATTCTGTGATTATGGATAACTTAAATGATCAGCATGATAATGAACAAATTGATCATCCCAGGGATCATTTTGATATTTCCAGTCTAAGTATCCAAAGCACCCGTAAGACATTCCCTTCAAGGGAAGAAAGCCCCCAGGTTAATGGGAAACCAGGGTGCCAAAATCCCAAATGACTACCACCTTTAATAATGTGTGACAGACCAAGACCTAAATTCTTTCAAAGTTTCTTAATCATGAACCTTCACAATTAACCCTGTGCTTGAGTCATGTTTATAAGAAAGAATTGCTAATCTCCAATTAAATAATAGCTGTGTATTTAAATATATATGCATGTTTATATTTCTTTGAATACGGGATATTATTTGGTCATCGACCTTACTGGTGGGTCCAAGAAACTCAGATTTACCCAAATCACTCAAGTCCATGCCTTGAACAATTCCCCACTACATGCGAAACAGGTCCAGGTAAGCTATTACAGCGCCTCAATTACCAAAGATCTTCCAATAGAGAATCATTACACATGGTTATAATCTAGTAACTGATATTATATAGGGTAGTAAAGAAAATCTCATGGGTGAGGATGCTAAAAGTTCATAATCATCAAAGTTACTAATGAGGAAGCAAAGTAAAAAACAAAAAAACTCAAATTCCATTTTGTTGTTTGTGAAAGGGTAGATTGGGAGAACACTCCCCAAATGACTATTTGGTGTTTACTCTTCAGAAGAATGTAATGACTTGCTACTAAAACAAGCAATAGTTCACTAGAACAAATTCTCAAGGAACTAGAGTAAGATCTTAGAAATGTTGGTTTACCTCCTGCTGAGCACTTTCAAAGTTATCATAGGTCTTCTGAGAATCTCATGAATGAGGGAGGAGTAGACAAGTCTTCTATAAGAAAGGTAAGGACTTCTCAGTGTTATCATAGCCAGTAAAGGCTATGTCTAACCTTAGAACCATCTCTCTAAAGCATATTTTTCTCTGTGTGTGTAGTACGCAAGCAGGCTTCTTGGACCACTCCTTTTTTTATTCTAAGTAAGATTCTGTATGAGTATAAAATCTTTATTGTGATAGTTGAGTATCAGACTGTTTTTAAAAGGTTTTTGAAATACATATTTAAAAACAACAAGTTTTAATTTATAAGAATGTGTTACATTGTACTGAAATATATATTTAAAAACTACACGTTTTAATTTATAAGAATGTGTTAATTGTACCTCATCGTTTTATATAGCATAGCATTCTTCCAATGGACATCCTTTGAAACTAACTCTGAGTAGAGTCAAGCGTAGTAGAGGAGGTGTAGATTCCTAATGAGTTTTCTCAATATGTCCTTTTTGTTCCTATTGAAGTATATATACATCTGGTATATCGCTTATTACACTAAGCTACATAATTAATTCTTTATATATATCTAATTGCCTAGACTGGGCATTCCATCAGGGGAGGGATGATGCATATTTTATCTTTGTGAAACCAAAGTGTAATAAATGGACAAATGGTTGGATGGGTAACATTTGAAACCACTGAAATGTTATCGTGGTCAATTCCAGCCCTTTCTGGCATGTGTTCCACCTTATGAGACATTTTCTGGAAACAGAGAGAGAGAGAAAAGAAAGAAAGACTGCAATTACCTGGGAGATGCCCAATTCATTTAGTCATATTTTTTAAAAGGCTATGAAAATTACTGCAGATAAGAAATAGATCTCTCTTTGCTTAACCAGAAAGAGACTGGTATTTAATTTGAATGAACTGCTAGGTGAAAAATCAGGGAGGACATCTAAGTAAAGTGATTAATAAAAAATTCAGTAGCATGGAAAAGGCATTCTGGAAATAGAAAGACTACAATCTGCAGGCTCTTTCCATTAGGATTAATGCCCTCTTTACAGCTCCTCCTCATCCTCTATTTTAAAACAAAGATTCTCACTGCAGTGGGCACAAAATAGGTATAGGAGTGGCTGCTACTACACAGCAGTCATTTGTAAGTCAATCAGTAAATCACAGGCCTAGCAATGATACCCTTTAGAGTTTGACTTGTCAGCCCAAGGAAAATAAGCCAGTTCAAGATCCAATATAAGCATTAGGGTGGTGGAAAAGTAATTGTGGTTTTTGCCACGGTTGAAAGTAATGGCAAAACCACAACTGCTTTTGCACCAACCTAATACATTTTCTCGTCAATTAAAAACCATTAAATATTGAAGAATGAGTAGGACTGTGGCAGATTTGGGTGCAACCACCTGAGTTCTTAATTAGCCTCGAGTATGTTGATTTCTGGAATTCAATGAACCTGAAAATCTGGAAAAAAAATTTTTGAGACAGTGCCTCTCAGGCTCAATTTAACTCCATTTTCCTTATTTCTACCTACTTCTAAACATTACATGAGCCTGTGCCCTGTGGTTCTTTTCTGTGTTACTAATAATTTTCATGGTGAGTATGCTGTTCTATTATTCACTTTGGATCTTAATAGTTAATTAACCACTTTTCAAATGGACGGACACTTTGTTGTTGCAGGAAGTCCCACTGGCCATGCAATGGGCTTATCTTGTGTCTGGTATGTCATGATACCCGCTGCCCTGAGCCACACTGTCTGTAGGATGGATAAGGTCTCTATCACTCTGCACAGGCTAGCTTTGCTGCAGTTTCTGTAGCACTGGAATACAACAGTATTGAATACAGAAAGTCTTGCCTAAAAATTAATTTTAGTGCAGTTTAGTCATTGAATAAAATGTGCTTATTCTATTCTTTCATAGACAAAATAAAAAAATGAATAGAAAACTAATATTTTGCTTTAAGATAATGGCCTAATTAGCTCATAGTTATTTCCGCTTTTCAAGTTGGAAATGTTTAACTGATTAATAACTTACTTAAATGTGCCTCTGGGTTTCCAAAATGCAATAATTATTTTGATAGCTAATAAATAAGCCATCTAAAATTATACAGCATAAGGAAACATTTTTGCATGCATATTCCCTTGCTTTAAGATTAACTGGAAGTTTTGAGAATCATCATTCTCCTTGACTGCATCAGTTTATTCAGTGAAAGTATGCTTCCTTCTTTGAATAGCCAATGCTTTTGATTTCAGTAACATATATTCCAGCTTTAAAGAGTATGCAAATGTTTTAATTAAAAACATTCTAGAAGCAAACTTAAATTTGAATGTTAGTAGATTTAATGTTAGTAGATTTTTTTTAATGTTTAGAAAGGTCTAAACTTTAAGGTTACTCACAGCTGTGTAGCAATTGGATTGTTTCTTTCTCTTCTTTCCCGAAATACTTTGTCATTAAAACTATCGTGAGCACCAATTCAGCCATAAATTAGGTGACTTAAAAATTAGATTTGCAAGTTAACCTTCAAAAAATACTATAACATATGCCATTATTAAAAAGTTTTCTAAGAGAAAAAATTTTCAAGATCTATCATATATTCCACTTTTTAGAGTAGTATTGGATAATATAAAAAACAAATGACCAAAGACATTTTGGTATCTTAAAAGTTTATTCTAATGAGACTGTGAACTGTATGCTTTAACGTATTATTGCCCAACCCAAAACAACAACAGTAAGAAGGTGTTATGATGTAAAGAAGTTAGCATTTTCTATTCGCAGACAATTTCAAAGTAGGACTCTAGATGAGTTTCACCTTTTCTCTACCCTTTATTTCTGCCTCCAATGACCAAACCTGGAAAAATATATTTCCTCTAAGAAAGAAAATTGTCATAACTCCTTTTTAATTTTTATAATTGCAATATTTTCTTCATCTATAAAATTTTCCTGAGTGTGTGCTTCTTACATTCACAGTACCGAATTCTTTGTTGTTCTTCCACATTGATATCCTGCTTACTTCCTCTTTCAAAGTCTCATTTCTCTGTGTTCCTTAGAATTTATATAACCAAATTTCAGTCTGATTATCAGGAACAAACCATTTAAGGATTCCTGGAATTCAATACTGCTAACACTGTCTTTTTCAATGACATGCATAACTTGGATTTAGTATTTAAAAAAATTTTTTTTAGTGTGTGTGTGTGTGTGCTGCTGTTTCTAATTCATAATATATAACTTATAGGTCAGTTCCCCAGTTCTTATTTTCTGTGTCTCAAAAAAAAAAAAAAAACAAGAAACAAGGATTTTTGAAAATCCATGAAATTGAACCCAATGAAAATTTGCCGCAGATGGAATGCTCATGTGCTTTTCATCTGGGTGGTAGCTGCCTTTCTACTGAGTTTTCCTCAAGCAAAGAAAGGTTGAGAGAGGAGGCACATAGGGCAGAGTGTGAAAATACATATGGTTCATTCTCGATCATTTTGGATATTAGTAATTCCCCCAAACTTGAATTTCCCCTACTCCATTGAAACAATTATTCTTATTTCATGGATGTCAAATTGACTTCCTTTTTAACATTTATTAAATCTCAGCATATAGCACTGGTTAAATTTAATGCATTGAGAAATGTAGAAACCTCTGTTAAAGCTTTTGAAATCCTGTGGAGTATGTGGAAACAACGTTTTGAAAAAAAGACTCTAGAATCATGATTCTATGTCACAGAAGATTCTTCTGAGAAGGATCATCTGATGTCACCCCCTCTTAATTTTATAGGTGATACAGTTTCTTTGCTTTTTACGCTTGTATCTATTCTTCCATCACAGACTGACCTGGTCATTTCTTTGGAGTGTTTTTTGGTTGATTCAGATCAGTGTCTGCATCTTCAGAGTATTCATAGCAACACATTTTCCTCATCAAGTTATTCTTGGAGTAATTGGTGGTAAACATGATCACTTACCTTTTGTTGTGTCCTTTAAAAGCTTTAGCTTCATTAGTTTAAGGCTATTGGATTCTCCCCAGTAATCAGCTTTCCCATTTCAGAGGTAATTCTGTGAAGTCACTGATACTAAATGCTATCCTGGGAGCCGACATGGTGCAGCACACCACTCAGCCTCCGTGTACAAAGTGGACCAGTCTCAGTGGCGTAAATGCACAACTCTTTCATGAGGTGGGCTTTTCTGAAGTGAAACTAGAGCTAAGTCTAACTCCTAAACCGTCACTTCAGACAGTGTGCTTGTGTCTTGCGTCAGGGAACTTAATGACTCTGTGACCTGCACACTGTGGCAATCTCTCTGAAACATGTGAAATGACTATTACGTGATTACGGACTCCATTTAGTAGCTGCTTTGTATTCCTGAAGCAGTGTTCAGCATGACTCAGTTCCACTATTCAGTGCCACATTACCTTTCAAAGGCTAATTGCTGTGACAATGGAAATGTTAATTGCTAGTACCTAGATCAGTGCTCTGTCTATAAAGTGGGTTATCAGTCAGTGCTACCAACTCCAGAATGATCCGTCTGGACTAGTATGAATAATGAAAACACCGTAGGCCCACCTGCCTTTTTAGTTACTGACTAAAATAGGCTTTAGAACATGGATATAACCTCTGTGTCTAAAGCCCTTTGTCATTGAAAACTGTGGCAAATTCTTTAGTGCAGAGAGAAATGATCCTCGAGGGACTTAAGAGTACACAGTCATCATCAGTGTCTCTTTTCAATCCCCAGGCATGCTGGTGGCAGAGGCCTTTGAACATACTCCAAGCATCCAAACGGCCAGCCTGGGCACATACCTGAAGACCAACCTCTTCCTCTTCCTGTCTGCACTTGGCTTTTACCTTCTTCTTAGACTGCTCAGCATTGACCTGCTGTGGTCTGTGACCATAGCCAAAAAGTGGTGTGCCAACCCCGACTGGATCCACATTGACACCACACCCTTTGCTGGACTAGTGAGAAACCTTGGGGTCCTCTTTGGCTTGGGCTTTGCAATCAACTCGGAGATGATCCTCATGAGCTGCCGAGGTGGAAAGAGCTACACGCTGAGCTTCCGATTGCTCTGCGCCTTGACCTCGTTGACCACACTGGAGCTCTACCATTTCCTCCAGATCCCGACTCATGAAGAGCATTTATTTTATGTGCTGTCTTTTTGTAAAAGTGCATCCATTCCCCTAACTGTGGTTTCTCTGATTCCCTACTGTGTTCGTATGTTACTGAAGCAAAGCAGAAAGAAGATTCAGTAGACTGAGACCTAGACTTAGGGCTCTGTGTCACAGATCACCCTTCTCCATCCACCAGTAGAGCTACAGAGTAGGCACAAACCAGAGGCTTCTAATCCGAGGTCACAGAATAGCGGCACAGGCCCCATTCCCCATACAGATGTTTAGTTTGGCCTTCTCAGAGGTCCCTTTTTTTTTTTAATCCTTCAGTTACCAATATTTAAAAACAAGAATATTTGAGATAAAAATTGGAAGTTCTGTATTTTCTGAAAAATCTGACAGTATCCAACACAGGGCCTGCATTCCCACCTGGAGACAGCTGACCAGAGCTGTGTACTGACAGTCCCCACTAGGAGGCAAGGACTCTCCATTTTCTGACAGTCTTCAGCCTCCCAGCAGGAGCCCCAGTATCAGATTCCTCTGTCATCTTAAGGCCAGGCAGTGTCTGATCCCTGTTGGCATTTTAGTGCGGAGCACAGCCATATTCAATCTCAGTTTTCGGATAAGGAAACAGAGGTCTCTTCAGGTGAAAGAACTTGCCTGGAGTCACACCACCTTTAGACAACATCCATCCTTTACTTTTAGGAACCAGTCTTTCAAAATCAGAGAAATCAGGTAACTTCTTCCTCAAAGTCATGCTCCAACCCAGGCATCTGTTAGCTAGATTAGTCTCTATGTATACTGAACTGTGATGAAAATCTATTGCTTTACTTTAGAAAATTATTATTGATGGAGTATTAATATTATATTAACAGTTTCTCAGTAAAGGTGTTTTTTCCTCATTGAATCTAGGAATGCTGGACTTTAAGGTGATAACTGTGTCATTTCAATCAAGTACAAGGATTTTGAGGCAGATTTTGCTACATACCTTAGTGATCCACCACAGTGTTTTATGTAACTCTTCTTAAGAATATCAATACATGAATTATTTTAGATAACATATTAAATAATCTATGAATATTCATGAAAATAAGACAGTTCGAATGTTGTTTAACAAGATAGTAGCTGAGAATAACAAACCTAAAAAAAAATCAAAGTAATGATTGACCTCTTTCCAAGTATATGTATAGAGTATGTGTCATTGCTTTTACAAAACACACTTAAGAGTTTTCTTTCTAAAAGATAACTGAACTGAACTTGATTTTAGTGGTTCGGTGATTCCTAAGCAAAAAGCTGAGGGATTAAGAAAGGATATCTTCAGAATGAAATTTGTCTCACCTTGCTGGGACGTTTGGATTGAAAGAAGTAGAGAGGAATAATTCTTCAGGTGATGACCCTTGTTCAATGGTTTAGTCCCACCTTATCCCCACTGTACCTTTAGATGCCTTCAGTTCCTTCACATTTCATGATGCATTAGCTTCATTCCATTTCCCACATGTTGGAGATCTCATTCCCGTCTAAAAGCCCTTTGTCAAATTTCACATGAAATAATGTTAGTCTTGAAGGATTCTAGTACATTCCCTCCATCCTAGTAGAGTCTCAGCCTGCTCTCACCAAGACCTGAGGAAACTGCAGCATTAATAGCCAGGGAATTCTGCTGCAATGATTGACTCTACCATAAATCCCTTCCCCGTTTCCATGGAGAAGCTATCTTCAGCCACCCCATGGTGCTGTCTGTTGGGCAACACATTACCCTCAGAGGGGGATCGGGAAGAGGTGTGGGCTTGTTTTCTATAATTAATCCCTAAGAACTCTGCATCTATCTTCCATAAAGCCCCAGAGTCCGCATATGAGTAGATTTTTCCCTCTTTATTTTAGTTGAAGTCTCCTGGAGGGATCCATACGGTAGTAAATTGCTTTTGCAGTTGAAACTGCTTAGGCAGCAAGAGGAACCAGTTTTCATAGCCTTGGAGAAAATGCCTGCCCTTAATAATGATGGAAAAGACTCTTTTGTTTCCAATTTACTTGTCAGAAGTAAGCGGAATTGAGCTTATTAAATACTGCTACTATAGCCATATATTCAAAATGTCTACATATCTACATATCCAGGATAAAAATGTCAATACCATGAGCTTTTAGGATGAGAAAAATCTAGACAAGTGACTCAAGATAACTGTCCAATCAAACCTACATTTGGAAAGAAATGCAAAATAATTTATTATTGCTGAAACTAGCTATTAGGAAGAATATCAGTGCCTTTCCTTTGACAACCTATTGATTGGACATCTGTCTAAGAAGGTTAAGTTGGTGCCTTCTCTAGACACATTTCATTACAAAACAGATGGTGATTTACAAAAATGGTATAAGATATCCTTGAAACGAAAAGTCATATCTTGAAATGCTTTATATTTTTTCAAACTTTGTAAATTAATTCAAGATCAAATTGGTACACATATACAAAAATCTTGGTGTAAGAGAAAGTCAAAAGACTTGGTTCCAAAACTGAGATTCATTACTTAAGTATTTTAAAACCGTATATTTTGAGCTCTTGAAATGCAGCTGATGCAACTGAGGGACTGCATTTTTAAACTTTATTAACTTTTAATTAATTTACATTTAACTCGCTATGTGTGCCTAGTGGCTACTGAATTGGACAGCACAAATCAAGTCTCACAGTGCTTTTCCTTGAAAATAAAACCAAAGTATTTTGTATATTGTCACTTGTGCCATGTTCCTGTGAGACAACGTGAATCAGCCTTAACGGCTGTAAGAAATTAACAGAAGACCATCCTGGTCAACATGGTGAAACCCCGTCTCTACTAAAAATACAAAAAATTAGCTGGGCATGGTGGCACGTGCCTGTAATCCCAGCTACTCAGGAGGCTGAGGCAGGAGAATTGCCTGAACCCAGGAGGCGGAGGGATGAGCCGAGATCGCGCCATTGCACTCCAGCCTGGGTAACAAGAGCGAAACTCCGTCTCAAAAAAAAAAAAAAAAAAAAAGAAGTTAACAGATACTGCTGCATTTTCCAAAGGGACCCTCGCGGACCTGGATTCTCTCTCCGCAGATCCCCATCCTGTGAGCTCTAGCCGCCATGGTGTCCCTGGACTCTCAGCTCTGTTGCCTGGAATCGGAAAGTCCGGGGTTGCCTGCCCTGCACCATGTTCCAGAAACCCTCTAAGGTCCACAATAACAGGGAGCTTTACCCAGTCTTCATGACCACATTCTGGATGGCTGGATGGCTTCCTGACAAAGCCTCCCTGTTTTTCTGGGTCCAGCATACATGAATACCCAACACCTGTACTTCTGTGGCTATTTAAAAACTCTTCCAAAAAGGACCACTCCGGTTTAGTTGCCCCTGAGGATTTTGCCCTCATTGATGGGCTGTCCTAGCCACTTTGGAAATGGCAAACAACTTCGAGGATGAATACCGGGATCTCAATGTTGCCAGGAAACTAAAGTGGGGGTCTAACTCCCCCCACTTACTTCTAATGCTTTCAGATGGTGATTTCACTCTGAAGGTAATGTGGTGCCTTTTGTCAATTTTTAAAAAGTTAACAGTAGAAAAGATCTATAAGAAGCAAGGACTCCAGAAATTTCTGCCAAATGACAGAAATTCATGAGAAGATTCTAGGACTTAGACGTGCTTCGTTTTCAGCTCTGTAAAGAACAAGGGCCGTTTATGTCAAGTTTGAGGCAGGTTTGGTGTGGAGTACTAATTACTGTCTTTGCTATCCTTTGAGAGAGAGCACAGTAATGACTCATCTGAAATCACTGCTCATTTCTTTTGGCAGCATAGAAGTGATTGCTCTAAAGGAGGGAAAAAGCTTCAAAGATTAAGGTTATAAAGGTTAGCATAAAACCCATTGTCTTCTGTTCTGAATTTTAAAATTTCTTAGCATTTTTCTTTTTTTCTAATGTTTTGCCATGTGATTTCTGAAGAGAATCTGTCCTCAGTTCAAAAACCATGATATTTCCCCAAAGAACAATATGTTCTGAAGGAGCTGCCAGGACAGGGGCAGGTGATGAGTGAAGGCAGCAGCTGCGGTCCCGCCGAGCAGGTCTCCTGGCGCACGCGGGGAGCGCGGGGAGGAACGTAGGCGCTGGCAGCACAGCAGCCCGTTTCCGACGCTGGCGAAGTGGAAACTGAAGCCGCTTCCCCGGGAGGATCTGGCTGCGCAACAGGGGTAACAGGCCATATGTTTGCCTGGAAAACAAACCCAGCGCTACCGAGGACAAAGAAGAGCTTCTTTCCTCTCGCTCTCACCTACCCCTGTCCATCAACTGAGCCCATCACACTCTAACTCCTGTTAAAGAATTGGCTTTTTGCAGGATTCAGGCTTTGTTTGATGAACAGCATGAACCTGATTGTCATCTGTGCTCATACATCTTGCAGCTAATGGAAGATGGTCATTACCTTCCCCGCCCCCTAGCCTCCAGGCTTGGTAATTCTGCATCAAAAACATTTCTACATAATCATTCCTCTTTTTTTTTTTTTTAAACAATAGCTCTAATAAAAAAAAAAAAACAAAAACGATAGAGCTCTTACTGCCTTTCTAGATGAAGACTGCACCGATTTAACAAAGAAAAAATAAATGTTCCTGTCTGAGTTTTGGAGGGTGTGTGTGTGTGTGATCTTTTCTCTTAGCTTTGGAATGCTGATGCCCTGCCCATACTGGCCAAGGAAGAGGCTGAGCCATGGGTCCACATGTGACTCCCAGAGGAAGTCACAATGCAGGCAGGCAGATGCCAGTAAATTCAAAGGCAGATCGATGTCCAAAGGCCTTCATAGAGTTTAGCAACCAACACCCTGGACTGGAATAATCAGAACTACATTCTAGTCTGGCCCTGCATCTAACCACTAAAACTCCAGAAGGCCATTTAGTGTTGATGGCCTCAGTTTACCAAGCTCTCAATTGAGGAGTTTAGTATGGGGTTAGAATGAAAGGTTCATTCAGGCTGTGATATTCTGCAACTCTAAGAGTCTCATGCAGTCCAACTTACTATGCTTTGGCTCTCCAACTGGCTCCTCTCTTTTGTTTGATCCTTATGAAGCACTATCTTCATGGAAGACTTTTAGATGTATTGTTAATTTTTCTGTGAAGCGGAACAAGAAGGTGAAAAGGAAGACCCGGCCGGGCTAGTGTGTTTGATACTGTTTTAATTTTGGTTACATGCAATGAACAAGGCTATAAATCCTACAAAGCACTCCGTTTTGAAATGTGCTACTTCATTAAACAGTTTTGGATCAATCAATCTTTAAAACATTTGATTTGAATTAGAATCTGAATTTTATAGCAATAAAAAAGTACATGAGATATAAAATAATTTAAATGATGTTATGGGGCAAAATTATTAACATGAGAATAGTCATAGACTTCCTGCTACCCTATCTTGCAACAGGCATCCTATAATTAAATTACCAACTCCAGTTCCCGTTTCTCAACACCCTAACGAGGAAATCCTTGCTGAAAGAGATTCTAAGCAGATCACATAGTAACAGCCTGAGCGAGAAGAAAAGGAAGGAGAGGGAAACTTGGGCTTTGTGTGAGGTAGGGCTGGAGAGCTTACGCGACTGGGCCGAGTGAGGAAAGTGATTATAGTTTTGAAATAGCATTTTAGTAAGTTTGTTGCGGCATAATTATGGATCTCTCAAAGACAGAAACTTTACTTTTTAATTTTTTATGGCTGCTAAAATATGCTTCCTGAGTGCAACGCAACTCTGACACCAAGTTATATGATGCCAAGCTTTTTGAGGATGAACAAAATTAGAGATCCAGTTCCAAAACGGTTCTAAAATCTTCTCGGGCTTAGCTAGGGCCCTTTCTTTCCGTGCTTGTCTTTTCTCTTTAACCCACCCACCAGACTAGAATATATTAAATGCCTTTAGCTGCCAGGGACGCAAGGGGGAGTTCAGTATAGGCTCTTCCCTGGAGAGGTCCCCATTGATTCTGGGCTCACTTGCAACAGCTCTGGGTGGACTCCAGGGATACCGCTGGCTTGCGGGCTTGAAGAATTTGTTTGTGACTATTTCCAGCTATAAATTAACTGGTAACTTTACTCCCCATTTCTTCTAATCCATCCTTTTTCAAATTCATCCTCTTGTTGAACACATTTTTCCCCCATCGCTGGCATATCCTGTCAATGGGATCTAGATTGTTCCCAGTTCAATATCAATTTTAACATGTGAGAGGATAAGAAAGCATATTCACAAAACACTAAGTACTGAAGTAAAAGCTTCCTTCATTGAAAGCAGGCATGGGCAATGTTCCAGAAAAGCCACTAGAATGAGTTGCTGGGACACCCATCCAGTGATATCATCTTTGCATGGCAGTGATATTAGTTAAGAAAGACTAATTCCTTCTTTCACTGAATATTTCTGGAATATCTCTAGATATAATGGATATAATGATCATACGTGAAGGTCATTTAAGCATGTGTTAATACTTTAATATTGCATTATTTTCTTTATACTTATGTTTCAGGATTTTTATTAATAAAGATCTATCAAGTAAGATTGTGTTAATGTTTAATTAACAACAACAACAACAACAACAAACATAATTACAAAAAACTACTTCAGTGGCTTCAACAAGTGAGAGGTGTTTTTTTCCTCCTGTAACAAGATGGATGAAGGCAGGCAACCCAGGCTAGAGTAGCTGCACAAAGGATGTTCAGGAATCAGACCGAGTCTATCTTCCTGCTCTGCCATCTGTGGTGTGTGGCTTTTGTCCAAGTGATCACAGAATGGCTGCTGTGCATTCAGGAAAGAAGAAAGGGGGAAGAAACTCAGATTTGCTTTTACCCTGACTTTAGAACGGAACAGCCTACACAGGGCCTTGTGCCTATATTTCATTGACAAGACTGTCACCTGGCCTTCATCTAGCTGCAAGGGAGTCTAGGAAGGTAAATATTTTGCTTTCTAGCCTCTGTAAGAGAGGAAAGCAAAGGGAAAAGGTGTGGGATTGGGTGTCAAGAGAGACAACACCTGCCATAGTGACTTATCACATACATAACAATGAATGCACACAGCTGCATCCCTCCCTGCAGCCTGCCAAATTATTTTGCAGTAACATCCTAAAACTGTGAAGACAAAATGCTTTCTGAACATTATCATGAGGTATATTTCAACGATTAAATTTTCACCTTCCAAGAAATGTTATTGAAACAGTGCTCATTTCTTACTTTGATTTGATACTTGATGTATTAGAAAGAAACCAGTCAAAAACCACAAAGGTTTTATCTTTTTTGATAATCTTTTATAATAATCACAGGCACTTGTTCTCTGTCACTCTCAGTGAACATTTCCGTTTCTACCTCCAGCTCTTCCGTTACCTCTAGCTCTTCTATTCTCACATTTATTTTGTATTTGAGAGCAGGAGCTATACCTCAATTATAGGAAGGAGGATATTGCCAATTCACCAGCTGGCTCTGTATTGTTTCTTTTTATACAGCAGATTTTGTCCTAACTTGGATTTATTGGGTTGAGTAGTCGCATTCGGATAGCTACATGCCAATCACGTGAACCCTGATTACTCATTATGAGCCTTAGGATACCATACAATTCTCTAATGAGCACATTATGATGCTGGCCAGTGCTAATTAAATGATAATCATGTGCATTGCTTTATTTACAGTCTGCTGTTTAAATTAATTGGGCATTTAATGGAACACAGTGTGAAAGAAATTGGAATTGGGTTTAGAGGTTCACTGAAATTACTTTCACCCGCCGTCTCCCATGCAGGTGAGATTGTTTACTAGATCCAGAAATTTAGAGAAAATCCAAGCTGATATAGTGCTCATTTTATGATGGTACACATGCATATGTAAATTAATCTCAAAGTGTGTTTGAAAACAACTAAATTCTTAATTTTGTATTTCCTCTAACATCCTTTTGAGCCCTGATTACAGAGAGATTTTGCATGCATAAGAAATATTTAATAAATCAAACCCTTAGTTGGAAATATAAGGTGGGATCTTAAACCAACTTGACAAAAATGTTCTGATATTTTCTTAGGATAGGAAACATATATTTAATTATTGAGCAAATATATGGCAAACTATACCTAATTATGATTCTATGTATTTTTCACTTTCAGGACATAATATCAAAATATTCCAGGATGTGCATTTTAAAATGAGTGTATAATTGCCAAAAATTACAGGCATGAGTACAGCACTAAATTCAAAATATCTTTTCATTGAAATAATTTCCTAAAAGCATATGTAGAGTAGCTCTAGAGTAACTAAATAAAAGTTTTTGGGCCGGGTGTGGTGGCTCACACCTGTAAAACCAGCACTTTGGGAGGTTGAGGCAGGTGGATTGTCTGAGGTCAGAAGTTTGACACTAACCTGGTCGACATGGTGAAACCCCATCTCTACTAAAAATACAAAAAATTAACTGGGCGTGGTGGTGCACACCTGTAATCCCAACTACTCAGGAGGCTGAGGCAGGAGAATTGCTTGAACCTAGGAGGTGGAGGTTGCAGTGAGCTGAGATTGTGCCACTGCACTCCAGCCTAGGGGACAGAGAGAGACTCCATCTCAAAAAAAAAAAAGAAAGTTTTGGACAAAAAAACTAGAGGTCAAGTTTTCTACTTTTTTTCTTTCTCAAACAGCAGGATTTCTAATATATGGGCATCTCTTTCATGTGATTTTGAAATGGACCAAAATTAACTGAGGATCTCTTTTCACAAAAAGTCAGAAAATGCGTTGCTTCAATTTTTCCTAAGAATTGTTCACAGAAAAAAAATTTATAAATGGTTCTTGTAGATCAGTTGGAAGAAAACTTGTTTTGGGACGAGCTCCTCAGGAAGCTTAGCTAATATGACAGTTGTTAATGTCATGATGTATTTTGTTGCACTAAACAATCTTAGTTATTTCACTTTTGTCAACTCACACTGGTGAATCAAATAAAATGAACGATGTATAGAATTTTAACCACTTCTGGTACAGACCAGTGTAGCCCTATGACTTCCGACATCAAAATGGCTTGTTTGATCACCAAGTCTTTTTCTCATCCAAACTGACACCCTGCAAAACTGAAGTTTTGCAGAGTTTCTGAGTACAGTGTAAGGACACATTCCAAGGGAGAGGCTACACTCATGTTTTTATAAGACTAGAATTATAGAGACAACTGAGATTCACACTAGAATATCCATGCACCTGATGTTCTAATCCTGTGTGGCCCAATCTAGTAGCCACTAGTAGCTCTTGAGAACAGAATTTGACATAAGGCTGATTTGAGCTAAGATGTGCTGTAACTATAAAGGCACCTCAGATTCTGAATATTAAGTATGATAATGTAAAAATCTCAGATTTTTTTATTGATCACATGTTGTGATGGCAATATTTTGGATATGCTGGGTTGAATAAAATATACTATTAGCACAAATTTCTTTTTTCCTTTTTTGTGTGACTAGAAAACTTAAAATTACCTATGTGGCTCATATTAGTGGCCCATATTATATTTCTGTTGAAAGGCACTGCTGTGACCTATGAAAAGAATGGGTGTTTCCCACTTCTATTACTTATGTATGTGGTGGCTAAGTTATGAACCACCTGTGTGAATTTGAAAAGACTATTCAACAAGATATATTGAGGTATTAACTTATGCCAAGTACTGAGTAAAGCACTGGGGACATTAAGATGAACTAGGCAGTCTCTGCCCCCCGAGACAATCAATAGACGTGTTAGTATATGCAGGAAGCTCTGGTCACACAGAGGACAAATGGCTGGAAATAAAATAAAAAAAAATTTCTACCAAAATTTTGGTGGAAATTCTTCCAGATATCTCTTTATGCATACAAGTGTGTACAAGCACATGCCAAACATAGATACACACATAACAGATTGTGTATGGATGAGTGTGTGTGCATAGATAATTAGCATCATACCATCTTTGATGATCAGAAACTCACTTTTTCTGCACAACATATCATGGGCATTGTTCCACAAGAAAGCAACAAACCTAAGTCAGCATCATTATTTTGGCTTCATGATAAATGTCATTTTATATATATGTACCAAAACTCATTTGACCTTTACTCCATTCTCTTATTTATAGATTTGAGATTTTTTCCAAATGATTGTGAACCATGCAGGAAGAGAAAACTGTGTTCACTTTTTGTGATTAGAAGTTTAAAATAAATTCTGAGAAATAGGATCTCTGGTGAATCTATTTCTGGACTCCCTTCTGTTCTGGTGATGTAGCTTTCAAATCTATAATAGTTTCAGTATCTATTGTTTTAATTTTTGAGACTCTGTACTGCATTTCTTCCCCCTTTTCTAATTTTAAACTTTATTTTTTTCCATGAAAGATACACATGTGCATAAATCTTTCAGCAGTTTCTTTCAGCTTTAACCTTCTTCTTTTACAATAAGATGTTTTTATTTCTGTTTGTTTAAATGTTTAACTGTTTAGTTTCCGTTATGAAATATGAGGACCACGAAGATCCAGTTCTTTTTTATCCATGTCCTATTCCATCCCCAACCTACCCCACATATTTTCTTGTTCCTTTCATAATCTGTCTATAATTCTGGTTTAGATCAGTATTAAGCTTTTACATTGATGTGACTTTGTGAATAACATTCTCACATGAATCATAACAGTGTAATATAAATATATTTCCTTTTTGTGTAATTTTTCTTTCCCCCCAGAGCTAATAGCTCAAAATCCCCACTCTTACTCTCTTTCTCTGTTTTCTATTGCTAATTTATCCTCAAACTCTAGCAGGGAGTTTTGTCTTCTCTCAGCATTCAAACCCATCAGGTAGTCTAACAGCACTGGTGGGACATTCCTCTCAGAGGAGGGGACATTCTGGGGAACATTTCTGGGGGATATTCCTCTCAGAGCCCATTTCCCTGCTTCAGTCTGGCTATTTGCTATGGCTACAGCACACCTGTAATCCTGGGATCTCCTTCCCAGTCATCCTGGAGATTCCCGGCACCTCATTCTTGAGTTAGATCATCTGTTCTTACATCCCATATCTTCTTATTTCTTTGTCTGTGCTCTTCTTTTAGAAAAAAAGCCCCCTTTTGTGGCTTCCTGAGAAAGGACACATGGGCAGTAGAAGTGTTAAGACCTGCATGACTGAGAATGCCTCTAGACTTCTCTCATTCTTGAGAATAGCTTTGCTGCATATCGAATAATTTCTCTTTAGAATTTTGAAGGCAGACATCTATGAATTTTAGTTTTACTGTCAAAAAGGTCATACGTCATTATATTTTGTTTTTTGGAGATAAGGTCTTGCTCTGTTGCCCAGGCTGGAGGGCAGTGGCGCAATGTTGGGTCACTGCAACCTCAACCACCTGGACTCAAGCAATCACCCCACTTCAGCCTCCCAAGTTGGGACAACAGGGGCATGCCACAATGCCTGGCTAATATTTGTTTTTCTTTTCTTTCGTTAGAAATGGGGCTTTGCCAGGTTGCCCAGGCTGATCTGAAACTCCTGGGCACAAGCAATCCTCTCACCTCAGCCCCCTAAAGTGCTGGAATTACAGGCATGAGCCACCATGCCTGGTCACATCATTAGGATTCTTCATTGATTATATGTAACACATTCCCCCTTCTCTCCTGGAAAATATTCTCCTTTTCTCTAGTTTTCTAAAACTTCATAATGTGCCCAAATAGGATTTTTATTTATTATATTCAGTGTTGGGTGAACTCTTTAAGCCTGGAAATTCATATTCTTGAATTACAGGAAATGTTCTTAGACTATTTTTAAACATAATTTCTGCCCCTGAGTTTTCTCTGAACCCTCTGGAACTAGACTATTGACTAATTATTGCACCACCTGAATTGTTACCCTCAATTTTTTCTTTCCCTTTTTTCCCTACTTTTCATTTCTATCTTTTTGTTTTGCTTTCAGAGAAATTTCCCCAACTGTATCTTCCAATCCTTCTATTTATTTTTTCCTGTTAACTTTTATTAACTGGCATTATGTGGAGAGTTTGATCACAACACAAACACATTATGAAAACATTAGGAAATTACAGAAAGACTTGCAATAACTTCAAGCAGAACAAATTAAGTCAAACCTTTGGTCATCTGAGAAACAATAATGTAAAATTGCAGAGACCAAATCTTTGTCAGTGATAAAGGATGCAGAATAAAAACATAGACATTATCGCCCCCTGGTGTTGTAAAATAAACATGCAATGTTATTTACTCATTTTTGAAGTTATATTCTTCTCTCTTGTCACTGAGCCTCAATTGTTTCCCTAATTTCAAGCCTTCTTTAGTCAATCTTTTCCCTCTCATCAATAACTTTCAAGTATCTTCTTTTGAAAATGTAATTTGTATGCCGGGCATGGTGGCTCACGCCTGTAATCCCAACACTTTGGGAGGTTGAGGTGGGTGGAACACGAGATCAGAGGATCGAGACCATCCTGGCTAACACGGTGAAATCCCGTCTCTACTAAAAATACAAAAAATTAGGCGGGCGTGGTGGTGTGCACCTAATCCCAGCTACTCGAGGCTGAGGCAGGAGAATTGCTTGAACCTGGGAGGCAGATTTTGCAGTGAGCCGAGATTGAGCCACTGCACTCCAGCCTGAGTGACAGTGTGAGACTCTGTCTCAAAAGAAAAAAGAAAAAGGAAAGGAAAAAGAAAATATAATTTGTATTCATTCCTCACAAATCCTTTCCAGGACACTGGCCACCTCCTAGCACAAGAGCCCCTGCTCTTGCTCTTTGAAATACAAACCAAAACAATGACTTTACTCTTCTTGCATCAAAATTACAGGATTAGCATGTAATTACTGCAAACCCTAATTTCTTCTAAAAGGCATCTTTAGTCTGCAACTAACTTGTCATTGCCATTTTTCATAACCAGAATGCATTCCTTCTCGTCTGCCTCCTGACTTGGCAACCATCAAGAATTCTGGCCTGACCAGTTAACTTGCCAAACCATCTTTGCCATTATTTACCAGGAAACACTGGAAAAGAAACATAAATAATATACCTCCATATCCTACAGTCTCAGCAAATTTATAGGCAGAATTTCATTTGTTGGCTAAGGGAAGAAAAACCAACTATGTAGAGTGAGCTTGGGAGGAAGCTGGAATAGGGAGAAAACATGATGGCAGGATACGGCGGTGGGAACCGTGCAGTCCTGCTACCAAGTTTTGCATGTCTGTGGCAAGAGCTCTTTTTTATATTTATTTCATTTTATTGATTGCTGTCTTTATTTCAATAGAAGGAAATATTTTCTCTTGACTCATTGAATATATTTATTACCACCTTTTGAGTGCTTTTCTAATCACTGCCTTGGCTCTGTTAGTTCTAATTTCCCTTCTCCAGCTGTCCTATTGTTGCTTTTGCTTTAAGTGCTAAAATACTTCCTCAGTGTCTGGTTACCCTGGGAAGTCAATTCCCATGCAATGGGGAGACACTGAAAAGCCTAGGGAAGCTCTGATCAAGTGGGTGTTTGTTGACTGGCAGGTGGGCTTCACAGGAGGGTAATATGGCTGGAAAATTTTCTTAGGATTCCAAGGATGGGGTCTTTGACCTCTTTTCTTAGATTGGCCAGTTTCCCCAGAAAATAATTCTTTGATCTCCTGCCAGAGGAGAGGGGCTGGGAGTTCTTCTGTTCGTACACAGCTTTACACTCAATTCCCCGTCTCTTGTGTGTTAGCTGTCCCTTCAACTGCACCTTGTGTCTCTAAGTGCAAACCTCCCTGTGAGTCTCCCCAGAGAGGGAGTAACCAGTCTCCCGCTGGACCTGGGGAGGGCAGCCATCCTGCTGCAGGCGGGGCTCTGCAATTCTGTTTCCATACAGGCTCTCGGCCCATTCTTCTGTCTTCAGTCCCTCTTGTCCCCTTGCCTCCTCCTTCCAGAAGGACCCAGTGTTTTTACATCTTGAGCCTTTATAGGGGTTTGTGGTACAAAACAGGATGTTCCTAGGCTTCCCCTCACTAACTGGTTACATTTTTGCTTTCTCTCATCTTGTAACTCTATTATCCATTTGCTTTCTGGCTCCCGAGATTTTGCAGGTGGCATCACTGTGTTTTTTTCATTCTTGTAGATTCCTGCTGTCTTTAGTTCTTTCGAGGTCATTCTGTGGTGTTTTGAGGGAGCAGGGGCAAACAAGTGCTTTTCTGCCATATTTACTTGCGTTTTTTGGTATAAAACCTTAGAAACGATAGCAAAGGAAAACGCACTATTTTCATTTCATGAATAGAATTTTGCAGAAGCTGAAAACAACAATCGGTACGGAGGGAGGTGCTGAGGAGTACAAGGCCTCAGAGAGTGTCCCCTGCTCCAGCCACCCTGGCAGGTTCTCACAGTAATGGTAGCTTTGCCACCCCCACACTCTGAAGCTACAGCATAAATCAACAGCCCTAACTTGAAAGCCTGTATGAATACTTTCCCCTTCTGCCTCCCTCAGCCTGACAGCATCCACCCTTTCCCAATTCTCAGCCTTAGAGATGAAGGAAGCTGCTTTCACGCGCAAGACAACTTTAGTTAAGAAACACAGCTGGTCTTCAGTCCTTTTGTTCTTTCAAATTTGACCTTAGTTTAGCTCAAGAAATGTTTGTTGAGTGCCTGTTATAGATCAGCCTCTGTGTACACCAAGGGTTCAAAAATGCAAGACAGTTCTCTGCTCTTGAGGAGTTCAAAGTCTCATTTACTTCCAGATGTCTCATTAATTCTTTGTGCAGGAATGGATTCTGCACAGAGAAGCATTGAGTGGTGGCTGAGCCATCACTTGATGTTGGGTTTTCCCTCACATGGACCCTAGTTTCTTTCATTTTCTTTATACACATCTAAAGCAGAATTATTATTGAAGGTCATTAGAAATTAGCTTGGATTCTGATATATGACAATGGCTGTAAAAGCAAAATATTAACATTCTTCTTTAAAGAAGAAACAATCCCTGCAGTCCCTCCTGCTGAGATTGCTTTTCCTTTAAAAACAACCCCTGTAACTGGTGCATCATGTGTGTCTGAGGTTCTTCAATTGGGTCAACTGATGGGGGATCCTGTGGTGACTAGTTTGTAGTAGGCTCCTTTTTGGGCCATCAGGTCTTCATGGGTCCCTTTTTCAATCACCACCCCCTGTGCCATGACAGCAATGATATCCGCATTCTGGATGGTGGACAAGCGATGGGCAATGACAATGCAGGTCCGACCCTCTCTGGCTTTGTCTAGAGCAACCTGCACCGTCTGCAAAGAGAAGATGGAGAGTTGATGCAAAGATGCATGATTGCTCCCCAACCCACCATCACGAGAGTTCAGTTAACACGACCTGAATAACAATCCTACACTTGAGGCCAAACTCAAAGTCTCAACATAAGAGAGGATTAAGCAAGTATTTAGTGAATGCAATGCATCAGAGATCTTGATGGCAGTGAACAGGCTGAGAAATTTCAGTGAAGCAAGAAGGAAGCAAACTAGGAATTCCCTATGTAATTTTACAATATCTGATGGTCTAGTTTACTGAAATGAAACCAAGAAAACAATGGAGGGTAGCAGTTCAGTGGCTGTTCCTGATGACTGCTCTTCATTGAGGACATTTTAGCTCTTTCCAAAATCGAATCCTGATTTTCAAGGCGTTAATTATACATTTCAAATTTCATAATTGTGTTTTGCTCAATTGCATATTCTTTCATGCAAACCACACATCACATATCACCTCTTATTTTGTTTTGTATGTGGCCTACCTTCTCTGACACATAGCTTTAGAACTATAAAATATTTATAAGATAATCTAGATTATGTTACTTTATTTAAGAAAGGTGATAATTTGCCTTTGAAAAAAAAGTCACTTAGCCTAAAGAATCTTAAAAACAATTCATATTTTAAAGGTAAAATATTTTATTTGACTCAATCTTATATTAAATCATTTGTCTTTTGGTTTTACAATGTATTGCCAATTTTTACTGTTAATAAATCAGAAAATTGAAACTGGTGCCATTTTATAAGCACAGATTTTACAGCAAAAGACTCATTTATAATGATCTAAAACTTTAGAAAATCAATACTTACCTTTTCACTTTCTGTGTCTAAGGCAGAAGTGGCTTCGTCGAGTAGCAAGATTTTAGGATCTCGTACAATGGCCCGAGCAATAGCAATGCGCTGTTTCTCCCCTCTAGAGAGTTGAGACCCCTGGGACCCAACATTAGTTTCATATTTCTGAAAAGGTATGGTAAGTTTGAGAAATAGAAACAGTTATTGCTCCTGTACTGTACAGAGCTCATGTCAAGGTCTCCTCTGTCATTTAAATTATTTGTTTGTGGAACTAGGGAATAGTGAGTGAGTCCTCCTATAGGATGTCAAATCCACTTAGGAATGTAAGAAAAATGTGGAATTTGTGACTTTTGGTGTGGGACGCAAGGGGATTTTATTCCTCATTTCTGCATTTCTTTTAGGTTTATATTTTCAATCTCCTTCTCCCGGTTTCCAGGTAAGAGTCCATATATGAGACCCTCCTTGATTTGAGACTCTCTGATTCTAGACTCTTATCTGGAAAAATCCTTCCAAGATGGACTAATCCCAAGAATGGAAATGTCTTTTACAATATCTTCTGGTCCGTTGCTGTATTAGGGAGGTGGCATTCTGGAACACAGGCCTAGGTTAGAAGCTCCACTCTGCTGCTTACTAGCTTGTGTTCCTGAACAAATTATTTAAATTTGTTTGAGCTGCACAGTCATCTGAAAGGTGCAGCATTAACACTTACTGCACATATTTATTGTGAGTTTTAGATAAAATGAGGAAGAAAAATCACTCATACCCTACATGCCTGAATAAAAATTAGTAAACATGCATCGAAGTGTTTACCTCTATTAGCACATAGAGGTATTGTGCTAATTGTTCTAGTTAGGTTATCATATAATATTCACAGAAACCATACCCACCCTATGTTTCAGATTACAAAACTTAGGCAAACAAAAGGTGGGAGGACGAGTAACAAGCAGTGAAAGTGAAATCTGAATCCAGGTGAAAGTGAATCTGTCTGTTTTCTGAGTCCTTGCCTTGACCACCGCTCTTCCCTGCCTTCCACAACAGGAGCCGTTTCCTACCTCTGCTTCCCTTGCCTCCTGATGAATGCTCCACTAAGCCAGGTGAGACCCACGAAAACCTATGTTGTCTTTGTGGAGACAAACTGCTCAGAGAAGGGTTCCATAGGCAAGTCTGTATGAGGACAATGTTGTAAACCAGCTCCATGCCAGTGCTTTACCCAAAATGAGTAGGTACTCAGTAAGGGTTTGTGGGATAAATGAATCTTCCAGGAAACACACCAGCTTTGCTTTGGAGCTCTGGATGCAGCAAATAGTAATTTCCATGTGCTTATAGGTTGGGCTACCAGGTAAGAACCAGAGCAAGAGCCTAACACTTAGGAGACTTTGTGAAAAGAGCAAACAAAAAGCCCTCCACAAACACCATAAAATTTATAAACATAATCACTTTTAATGAAAAACAATTTTCCCAGGAATATTTTTTAAAAGTAAGTAGAGAAGGTTAAGGTTTCCATGTTTTAATTTTTCTTGTGATCAAAACAAAGAGGGACTTTTGGTAGATGGAAAAATGCAGTAAATATTGTGCAAAATCTGGACTTGACTCTGGGAAAGTGAGAGACACCAAGGCAGATGCAAGGTACCCACCATACATGGTACACACTGCCAAGTAATGAAATAATGATGATGGCAGTAAAAACAGCAGCAGCGTTCTTTGTGTGTGGTTTGTTTTTCATTTTAACATTATTTTCTTGCACTTTGCAGATGGAACAGACAATCTCAGAAAGGATAATTGTCCCAAAGTTACAAAGCTAGTAAGTGTCAAAGCTTGGATTCAAGCCCGGGTCAGCTCCAAATTTCAGGCTTTCCCCAGTATGCCAACTAAAGCTCAATGTACAAAAAAAAAAAAAAATCAACAGAAATAGCATCCATTGCATTGGGCAATACAATACTTTCCAAAATTAAAGAGTACGTTGATGTAGAATATTTATTTTACTTAAAAAACTAAGACAGTCTGGGGGCACTGGGAGATAAATTATGTAGCCTTTGACCTTCTTGAGAAATATTCAGATTGAATATTTCTTATCAGAAATGCTTGGGACCAGGAGTGTTTCAGATTTTGGAATAACTGCATATAAGGAGATATCTTGGGGCAGGACTCAAGTTTAACCACAAAATTCATGTTTCCTATCCACTGCATACACATCGCCCAAAAGCAAATTCCTATAATATTTTAAATAATTTTGTACATGAAACAAAGTTTTGACTGCATTTTGACTGTGACCCCACCACATGAGGTCAAGTGTGAAATTTTCCACCTGTGGAATCATGTTGGCACTCAAAAGTCTTTGAATTTTGGAACATTTTTGATTTGGGATTTTCAGATTAGGGATGCTCAACCTGTCCACTCTGGCCCTTCTACATCTCCCCATCCTTGTCCCCATAGGGAGTGGCTCTGACTTTTACTCACCTCTGGGAGTGACATGACAAAGTCATGCAGCTGAGCCTGTTTTGCAGCTGCTATGACTCTTTCCATGGGAATTTCTTTGGTGTTGTCTCCATACTTGATATTGTCCATTATGCTACAGGCAAACAAGACTGGTTCCTGGGAAACAATTCCAATGTTCGAGCGGAGGAACTGAACATTTACTTTTTTACTGTCATGCCCATCTATCATCTGCCAATAGAGGAGATGACAAGTCATTCAGTTTTAGAATTCCAGCAGTGAGGACAGTTCATATTCTAGCATTAGGTGTTAGGCAGGACATTTGATTTGCTTAACAGATAACAATCCTAAGGCTAAAATTACAGATTAACTATGTTGCCTTTGACCTCTGGATGTAACGTCTATCAGGAGTGGTGTCCATGTTAACACTGATCAGACTATGATCCCATTTATTTCCTCAACTCTGGCTCCATGGATAAAACAAATGAGAAAGATGCTCAGGTATTCAGGTAAGAAACAACTTTCCCTTATTTTGATGCAGCACACTCTCTACAATCTACAGGATTGCCCTATTTTGAGACTTATAAGTTATGGAAAGGATTTTTCTCTGTGAAGCTATTGGGCAATATAAAGGTCAAACCTGTTTTCTTGATTTTACTAATGCAGTTATCTCTGGATAACTAACAAAACCAAGTAAAAAGGAATACATTTATTCACTTGGTCAATCAACAAACATATATTTGAACTGCCTTCCACAAAGCACCATCCTTAGCATGTCTGCTACATAAAGAAAATATAATCTGTTTCCTAGGAATTCACAATCTAGTTAGGCAGTTAAGTCCAGGTGTTGAATATCTACCACATGAGCTGGTTTACCAAAGAGTCCTAGAATGTTAAAGGTACAGTATATGTCTAACATACTACTATAAAGTATTTGGCCCTATTATTTCAGAAAAAAATTGTGATAAATGTTATGAACAGATTATATTTAAGATAATTTCTAACTAATGGAAAAAGCAAACACTTATTAGAAAAAATATAAGGCATTTCTCAATGACAATTAGCCCTGGCTTATATTGCTCTACTTATTTTTCATAGCATTTAATGCAAACCATATTTAATAATTAAACACTGGGGCTGTTTGCTCATTCTTCTAAATGTGCTACATAGTAAGCTCCTGGAAGACAGAAGACATGCTTCATGTTTCTTAGAATCTCCCACAGGGCCTAATGCAGTAACAGGAACATCACAGGTATCCAACTAATGTTGAAAATATTGAATGCCTGTTTTCGGTAGCTTCCTTAAGGGCAAAGAGGACTTTGAAAAAAAAATTATAAAAAGTGATAGATAGGTTTCATCATTAAAATGTTTGTAGAGAAACATTTTATGATAATATAACAAAATAGACTGTGCCTATGAAATGTAAGAAGTCATAATGATTTCCTTATTGGCCTTGCTTTCTACCTGTGACTAGAACATTCAATGGGCATATTCAGAGAAATAGACTTAATATACATGTTAATGTTGGAAGTAAAATCTGAGGGATTCCGGTTCCTGTATCTTGCATAGTTCACAGTCTATGATGGCTGTAGGCATGACAGAGCTCATTTTGGAAAACCGAATCTTCTGTCTTACTGGGATTATACCTCTGCTTACAATGGGCTTTCTAGATTCCTTAGTTACCAAATACTTTCAAACAAATTAAAATCTTTATACCTTAACCTAATAATAGAAGGGATTATAAATTACAGGTAATCAATGCTTGGTCCTTATTTTTATAACTTCCTGGATTCTGTCAATGTCTATTTGCTTGTTTCCTTGCTTTGCTTTATGCAAGGAAATCTTTAGTTGCCTCTTTCAAGTTTTTCTCAGCATTTCTCTTCATAACATTATCTGTCCTCATTACACTAAAGATTATAGTATTCAGGAAAATCAGAAAGACCACTTTCAAAGTATTAGGATTAAACCACGAATCAAGTATGGAGCAAAATAAAACATTTTCAGACCCATATCTCTGAACTATTTCTTAGAAAACTGCTCGTGGATGAACTCCAACAAGAGTGTGAAAACTATGAAAAAGGAAGGCATGGGAACTACAAAATAATGGATCTAATCCAAGAAGATATCGCAGAGAACTCACAGGAGACTCAACAGGCAAAGGCTGCAAGTGATAGACATGAGGGGATAGGTGGCCGGATAGAGACATTAGAAGAGCACAAAGATTTCCATAAAGACAAAAAATGCAAGAAAAAAGAAAGCCTTTCAGAAAAATAATCAAGAAAAAAATATCATGCACTGTACCTCACTATGTTACTGTGGGATAAACAGTATTAACATAATCATTAAGAAAGCTGTCAGTTGATTTTCAACTTTTAGAATCAACCGAGAGTGAAAGCAGGAAAGATAACGCTATAAACAGAATGTGCTTTGAATTCCTGATAAAAGTGCAGATAGAACTTGAGAGGTGAAAGAAGGGAGTACGAGGTGAAAATAAAGGTAGGATTGCTAACATTTTTATTTTAGAAAGTGAGAATTAAAGAGGAACTATCTACAGGTGGTGGAAGAGCAGCGGAAGCAGATCAGAAGTTTATAAAATTATAAATGGAAGGCCTGAAAAAATGATATAACTATTTGGGAGGAGGTAGGTAAAAGGAAGGAGTGGTGAGAGTAAGTAGATTTATATCTCTTGAGAATAAATCACAGAGAGTCTAAATTTGTTAAATCTTAAAATAGCATGAGCATACTATTTAAAGATATAAAAGTAATCAATGGGAGATCAAAAAACATCAAGTGGTCAAAATAGTTGCCTTTGAGCAGAGAAATGTGGCGTGGGGGAGTGTAAGCATAAAGCAGGGGGGTGGCTTTTTATTATAAACCTTTATTATTTGATTTTGTGACCTTCTGCATATATCACTTTTAAAGAAAGAAAAAAAGGACAGAAAAGAGAAAGAAATGTTATGAAAAATAAGTACCAAAGCTATTGACTGAAATTTCAAATATCCTTGCCAAAGGTTTATGGCTTTCAATTTAAGTTCATTGTATTATTTAGACTTCAGCTTCTTGAACAAGGATTGTCTTAGATCTTTTCATGCTAAGTCTCCTTTCTTGTTCATTTATCATTATTTCCCTTATCACCCCCGCTTTTTCCATTCCTGGTCATTAGTTTCCTGATTAGTCTGCACTTTCTGCTCCATTTGCATGTAAGCGAAGGCTTCTATTAAATACACTCATCTCCAGCTTTGCAGTGTGCCCAGTTTTCTTTGCCGAACTGGTCAGCAGGCCATCTGGAACTGGGGAAAATCTGACATTAGAAATTGTGAGGTAGAATCAGGTGAAGCAGCAAACCACTGGGACTGGAAAATATGCATGGGGTAAGTGCCTTAGGCAAGCATTTTAAAGTGAGTCTGGGAAAGCAGAAACTAGAAGCCCACTTTTAGGGGTTTGAAATATTCTGCAGAAAGGAGAATTCTCAAAAAGATTGTGTGGCTTACCACCTTCCCTTGATCAGGATCATAGAAACGTTCCAACAGCTGAATGCTGGTGCTTTTCCCACATCCACTGCTCCCAACAAACGCCAGTGTCTGCCCTGGACTAATCGACACTGAGAGACCATTCAGAACTTGCATGTCAGGTCGAGAAGGATATGTAAATTTACAGTCAACAAAGTCAATCTTCCCCTGGAAGTTGTCCTGGGGATGGGAGAATCAAAATTAGAGATGCTCTTACTGGAGCCTAGAATATTAAAACGTACCTAACTCTGAGTTTAAAATCCCTGCTTGAGATATCTTCAAACCATGCTGCCAAAGTACAAAGTATAAAGACAGCAACTTAATAAAAGGATATCCCATTCCCTATTCTGGGAGGTATAGTATAAAGGGAGGCTTGGGCAATAAAATTAAAGACATATCACTCCCTCTCTTCCCAGTCTAACCTATGGAGATTTTCTTGCCATCCATTCTTGACATTCTGAATAGAATAGAATAGCTGAAAGATATTATATCACAGAAGCCAGTAACTGTCCAAACCCTATAGCTTTGTTCCCCAAACTACTCAAAATAATAATATTACACTTAAAATGACCTAGAGAAAAAGTTACCTGAGGTCTGTACTGCAAAGGTGAATACTTCTATTGTACTTTGATGTGCTTAAAACTCTCTAACTTATAAACTCTAGAAGTAGATAGACATTTAATAGACGACACAGAAACCTTACTGTTACTGAACTGAAGGAGAAATTTTACCAATTTAGAAAGATTTCAGAATTTAACTTAGCTTTACGAGTGTCTATTTGCTTTTGCTTTCTTGAATATATTAAATTTTTCAAAAAAATAGGTAGAGAAGATTTAAAAATACCTATCTATCAACGAGAAGAACAGATATTTTGTTGAGACTGAATTAATTTTCTGGATATCCACATAAGCTAAAATTTGAATCAAGATGAACATGAATTAAATCCATGTGATTGGACAGGAAGAATTGATTTTTCTGCATTCCGTATCAGAACATCAATAGAAAACACAGTGGTTAGGTAGATCTCAAAGGACAACTGGCTTCATTCATTCAGGAACTAAGCGTATTTTATATTACACAGAATTTAGCATTCATTGAATGTCATTGCCTTGTTCAAATGCCAGCTTTAGGAATAATTTTTGATGCTAATTTACTTTATTCCTTTGTATTTACAAATCTGTCTATCCACTCTGAGTACATATGAATGCAGCCATATAAAGCAAGAATTAAAAAGCTAAGTGGTATTGTATGGCCATCCCTAATGGCTATCCTGCACACACACACACACACACACACACACACACACCCCTACCCCTCATCAATACTTACCCATTTTTCACCTGCACTATTGTATACACTGATTGGCGGTTGTCGGTCCAGGAGTTGAAAAAAGCGTGCCGCTGATATTTTAGCTTTGGCATAACTTGGGGTGTAAGAGGAGGCTCTCCCAAGAGCTGTTGCACTCAGTACAACTGCAGAGATCACCCTGCAACCAGACAGACACACAGGCAGAGACAGGGGAGGTGTGGTTGGTGTGATGGGCTGGGAGGCAGAAGTTTGGGGCTCTAGCCCTGGTTCTGCTAGGAAAGGACCACATAGCCTTAAGCAAGTCACTTCAGACTTGTCTGGGAATGGAGAGGGTGGCCTTTAAGAGATTAGCAGTTTTCAAACTGTGTTCTATGAAAAAGGGCTTAGAAGAGGACTGAACAAGCACGATGGGAGAGAGCAGACCTCCAAACCTTTATTCAACCACAATAGCGTCTTTTAAGAAAATTGTTTGGTGGGGAAAAAGACTTCTGAAAAACTTTCCTTAAAAGAAAGCAGGCTTGAAAGATCACCAGATTGAGCTGGTTTTTCTATAATGCTAACTTTTTTTTGAATCTATGATAGGTATATAAAAGATAATTGGTAATATAAGCATCAATTCTGTGCCAGGTATGTATATAATTTATTATTCAGAGAGCAAGACAGATGCAATCGCCTGTCTCCTTCTACTTGTCTTAGCCTCTAACTATATTCTACATGTACTTAATTAGTGAAAGAGTGAGTGAAGGAATAAATGAATGATAAATATGATGAGAGATTACTTCGTTGCTATACAGACTATGATGTGAGTAGTAGCCCCCAAAGCTGTTCACTTGCACTGCCATGCACAGAGGGTCTGCCTGGGATGGGGAAACGAATAACGGATGTGTCTTTGTGGGTCACACTGCTTGGTTCATAAGCAGGAATTGTTTGAGGCCAGAACTGCAAATCCTGGAACATCTCTAGGATCCCAGTTTAAAGCCTAAGGGAGTGAAAAACACTTGAAATTAAATGAAAAATGGTGGAAGATGACCTTCCAATTTTTAAAATGAAGCCAGAAATTGGGAGTTTTCTGTAATCCCAGATTTGTTTTTTGTTTTGTTTTGTTTTTGAGATGGAGTCTCACTCTGTCACCCAGGCTGGAGTGCAGTGGCATGGTCTTGGCTCACTGCAACCTCTGCCTCCTGGGTTCAAGTGGTTTTCCTGTCTCAGCCTCCCTAGTAGCTAGTATTACAGGCGTACACCACCATACCCAGCTAATTTTTCTATTTTTGTAGAGATGAGGTTTTGTCATGTTGGCCAGGCTGATCTCAAACTCCTGACCTCAAGTGATCTGCCCGCCTCAGCCTCCCAAAGTGCTGGGATTACAGGCGTGTACCACTGCACCCTGCCTGTAGTCCCAGATTTTTACATGTTGGCAAAAAGTTCTCTTAAAACCATAATATAAACTAAATAAAAACAAGCCAGCGGTTTGTGTTTTCTAATTTAGGTTAGTAAAAATATGCAAAGATTTAGATATAAGAGATTTCCTAGGCTGGATGGGTATGGTGGAGTGGGAGAGAAGTGCCAAAAGAGACATCAGGTGAGAAGGCAGGACTCATGGCTAGAGAAGGAAACCCAAGAACAGATCCCTATAGGATCACGTTTCCTAATGCCCTCCAAACCTGTCTCGGACCATCTCCACCCTTACTCACTACTGTCCACCATATACATGTGTGCATCGTTTCCCAGTACCCTGACACCCTCAGGCTTTCACCTCTGGAAATGTGAGAAATTGGACTCAAAGCTAATCTTATTTGAAAAGCAGGATTTGGCTACACAAATGGAACATCATTCACCTGTATGGCCTACGCTGTCTCTGCCTAGGAGGAGTCAGCTGGGACCGTGCCCTCTTTGCAAGAGAGGAGTAGAGTTCAAATAAAACAGTTCTCTGTGAAGCATCTTAGCCAAGGCCTCCAGATTTTCTCAGCATTAACATGTATGGCAGATTGTTTAGAAACAATGATCACATTCATTCACACTATCATGCATCCCTTTGCAATATGACTTTTTTCCTCCTCTCATCAAAAAGTGGATTCTACCTTTTTCTGTTCCTTAAATCTGGGCTTGATAGTATGATTTTCTTTGGACTCTTTGTGTGGAGAGACTTGAAAAGGACTTGAACAGTGGAGCTTGCCCTCTTCTGTGGCACTTGGAAATCTGAGGCCATAATATGAAGAAAAGAAGCTCACCTGTTAGGCCATGTGGAGACAAGTATACACAGAAGCCTGACCGAGTCAGCCCAGATCAGAAGAACCACCGCCATGACCCACAGAAGCTTGAGAAATAATTGTAAACCATCCCAAGCTATTGTAAGACGCCAAGCTTGGGATGGTTTGTTAAGCAGCAAAAAAGCTAACTGATAGAACCAGGCTATTCCTTCCCTGAGTGTTGATGTTTTCTCTCTGTGGGCTGATATTCCTCACCTGAACACGTAGCTGAAATGGAGTCCCTCGTTGGGGATTAAGTAACCCCCATAGCGGTAGGAAGCAGAATTTGCAATAAACACAATGCTCTGGGAAAAGGCAAAGCAGAATCCATAAACATTGGCTTTCTGAATAGCTGTCTTGAGCGGCTTCTCCAGCTCCCTCTCAAGTGCTTCAATGAACCGCCTCTGCTTTCCAATTCCAGCAACAGTGCGGATGTTACTGAGGGCTTCACTTGTAATCTGAAGATTGAAAAAGAATCTTAGGAATACAAGGGCAGAAATAACGCCTTTCATGACATTTCAATGGCTGCATGATTAGTTGGTGCAAATGGCAGAAGGTGGCACAAATCAGAGATGGACGCATGATCTGGGAATACAAAGAAGTGGCTGGAGGTCAACCCTACTGGACCACGTGACAATTTTTCAGTTATATTCAAGTTTCCCTGAATTCTAACACAGCATGGATTTGTTGCCTCTATTTGTAGTGGAAGAGAGAAGGAAAATAAAGGTACACACAGCCATTTTTGAAAGCTTTTTAGCTTATTTGCTAATTCATTTGAAATGTGTAAAATGGTATCTTTAAATTTCGACTGAGACAAAAGATTAATCATATATATTTAAAATATGAGATTATATTTTCTTAAAAAATTAATCTGGCCAAATATTATAGAACTTAGTGTTAGTGGTAAACAAAACTAATTAAATTTATTTGCAAATTATGTTTTAGGAAAAATGAGTATTTCTACCTCCAGTGGTAAAACAACAATTTTTTTCCTTAACATTAGAACATGTTTAGTTTGTATATATTTAGGGGGTATGAGTGCAGATTTCTTACAAGCACATATTGTGTAGTGGGGACGTCTGGGCTTTTAGTGTACCCATCACTCCAGTAATGAATTTCATACACAGTAGGTCACTTTTCAACCCTTGCCCCCTCCCACCCTCCCTCCTTGTGGTTTTTATTGTCTATTATTCCACTCTGTGTGTCCATCTGTACCCTCTAACATAACTTAAAATAGGTAGAAATTGTATCTTTTAGTCTATGCTATGAATTTATATTTGTTCTAACCCACACATTAGGGCAAGTAATCTCACTCTTTCTAAATTAGGGTCCTACCCTTAGAAGGCAGAAGGTAGGCATCTTTGTTCCATTAAGGTAACAAGTCCTTTTGGCTTCTGCCTACTTGAGCAGAGTTCACATCCCCTCTTTTAAAAGAGACAGAATCAAGGCTATTGTGAATTTGTTAAAAGAGTGAGTATGTGTATGTATGTGTGATTTCTTTCTTTATTTTTGTTGTTGTTGTTTCTGTTTTTTGAGACGGAGTTTCGCTCTTGTTACCCAGGCTGGAGTGCAATGGCGCGATCTCGGCTCACCGCAACCGCCGCCTCCTGGGTTCAGGCAATTCTCCTGCCTCAGCCTCCTGAGTAGCTGGGATTACAGGCACGCACCACCGTGCCCAGCTGATTTTTTTTTTGTATTTCTAGTAGAGATGGGGTTTCACCATGTTGACCAGGATGGTCTCCATCTCTTGACCTTGTGATCCACCCGCCTCGGCCTCCCAAAGTGCTGGGATTACAGGCGTGAGCCACCACGCCCAGCCTGTGTGATTTCTCATACTTGATAAGCATTTATGCCACCATCCCTCATTTCCCCGCTGAGGACAAGATATTAATTAGAACACACTTTAAAATGTGTAGCTAAAACCTAAGTGTATCCAAAACCTAAACTGCATCTCATAAGTCTAGTTGGGAAAGACACTTGCCCCAAGCCTGGGGACTCTAAAGTGTGAAGAGAAAAGACATGTGTCATCAAAACGATCATAGCTCCTCTTTGTGTGGACAGCATGGCTCAGGGAAACCATTAAATTGCAAAAGTCTCACAGTCAGAAAACTGAACTATCCACCCCTGCAAGTGAGAGCACACCAAAGTGGAATGTGGAACGAATCACTATGCAAGAGGAAACTGAACCTGCCATCCTCTGTTCACCCCACTATATCTCCACGCCTGCTCCAACGCAGAGCCTCGGAGCTTTATTGACTCAGCCTTTGGGCCAGGCATACATGCAAAGGGTAGCAGAAAGTTCTTAAGTGCGCCTGTCTGTGGGCTGACAGCTTCCTAAATCTCTTCATACTATTCATTTTTAAGTTTGTCAGACAGCTACTCAGCCATGAGGAGTGGGAAAAACAGAACTTCAACATTACCTGTCCCACCATCTCCAGGGCCTGCTTATCTCGAGAGGCAAATCCTGTCAACATCTTGGTCTGTGCAGCTCCTGATAAAGCCAAGAAGGGGAAGAAGCACAAGATGACCAGGCTCAGCTTCCAGCTAAAGGAGAAGGCAATGATCATGGCCACAGTGACGTTAGTGAAGGAATTGACCATCATCCCGATCTGAGAGCCGGCGGCCTGCAAACCAAAAGTAATCAACCCATCTCAGACATACAATCTCTTTTACCAACTGTCATTATACAAAAAGGGCAGATCTTTTATAAAATTGTGATAAAACATATATAACAATATATATCATTTTAACCATTCTGAAGTGTACAGTTCAGTGGCATTTCACTGTGTTGTGTAACCATCACACATCTATACCTAAAGCTTTTAAAAATCATGTCCAACAAAAACGTTGCATCCATTAAACAATAACCTCCCTTTCTCCTCTCTCCCCCAAGCTCTTGGTGACTTCTACTGTAACTCTCTGTCTGTGTGAATTTGCCTTCCCTACGTACCTCATAGAAGTAGAATCATACAACCGTTTTCTTTCTGTGTCTGGCTTATTTTGCTAAACATAATGTTTTTTAAGCTTCAACCATGTTGCAGCAGGTATTAAAATTTCATTCCTTTTTATTTTTGTTTTTTGTTTATTTTGAGACAAAGTCTCACTCTGTCACTCAGGCTGGAGGGCAGTGGCATAATTATGGCTCACTGTAGCCTTGACCTACTGGGCTCAAGCAATCCTCCTGTCTCAGCATCCTAAGTAGCTGGGACCACAGATACATGCCACTATACCTGCTAATTTTTTAATTTTAGTAGAGATGAGGTCTCACTATGTTGCCCAGGATGGTCTCAAACTCCTGAGCTCAAGTGATCCTCCCACCTCGGCCTCCCATAGTGCTGGGACTACAGGCATGAGCCACCACACCTAGCTTCATTCCTTTTTAAAACAGAATAATATTCCATTGTATGTATATATCACATTTTGTTTATCCATTCATCCATTGACAGACACTTGGGTTATTTCCAGCTTTTGGCTATTGGGAATAATGCTGCTATGAACATGGGTGTATAAGCACCATTCAAGTCTTTGCTTTCAATTCTTTTGGATATAGATCTAGGAGAGGAATTGCTGGATCATATGGTAGTCATCTGTTCAATAAGTTCTTTTAAAAGATGAGCTCCCTTTAACATATCTGAAAGCTAGATTAATAAAAAGTTACTTTATTCATAGATTATTGGAACTTTATTTATTGACTAATCTCATTTCAAGAGTGTCAGAGCTAGAGCAGTCTGTCTGAGGTTAATACAGCCCTAAACATGCGCTACACATGTCAGGTGCTGATGCATTTGGCTTGCTTAAAGATATCCAGTCAGTAGGCTTATAGTAATATGACTTATTCAATGAAAATTGATCCTTGCTCTATAATTATATTTTTGCAGTTGATATAAGACTGTTACAAGATACCACTTTGATTCTCATTGAACTTAGCCTATTTATCGGTATAAAGTTACATGCTGCTGTAATACACAGCTATTTAGTCAATGCAGATGGACAACAAAATTGATTCAGTCCCAATAGAGATGGAGAACGGACCACTGTGGTAATTATATCTATACTAATCAGAGTACCCGATGGTTCCAAATCTTCGTTTCAGTTGCAGCTAGGTAGATATGACCAAAGCTTAGTGCACCCTGAAGAAAATACTTGGGTGAGGACAATGACGTCACTTCTTTTTAAAATTGTAGAAACATATTATTATTTAAGACAAAAAATGTAAAACCACCAAAGGTAAGCTGTTGGTAACCATTAGGTGCTAAGGCAGTGTTATTCAGGAATACTTTGCATCTTTATACTGAATTGAAGACACAAATGGGATATAAAATTGTGTCCCAAAGCATTCCCATGTGTTAGTGCTAACTTCCTTGGAGACTAAGAGGCTAAATCAAGAATTTCTCATTTGTACACCCATGCTCATAGCAGCATTATTCATAACAGCCAAAAGGTAGAAACAACCTGAATGTCCACTGAGAGGTGAATAAAGAAAACATGATACATCTATAAAATAAACATCCATAAAAAGGAATATAGCTCTGACACATACTACAGCATAGAGAAACTTCAAAAACATTGTTAGGCGAAATAAGCCAGACATAAAAGGACAAATTCATATGATTCCACTTAGATGAGGTGTACAGAGTAGTCAGATTCATAGACACAGAAAGTAGAATGATGGTTGCTGGGGGCTGAGGGGAGGGAGAGCAGGATGGGTAGCTACCATTTTAAGGGTACAGAATTTCTGTTTGGAATAGTAAAAAATTTCTAGAGATGAATAGTGGTGATAGTTGCACAACAATGTAAATGTACTTAATGCCACTCAGCCTGTACACTTAAAGATAAAGTAGTAAATTTTCCATTACAAATGTTCTACCACAATTTTTTTTAAAAAAGAATTTTTGGTTGGCAAGGACTGTCAGGCATTACAGAGTACTTGAAAAGCAACTTTGCAGTTCTTTGGAATGTCATTATTATTATTACTATTACTGTTTACATTTTATTCAACTAGTATTGTTTTTAAAAAATTAAAAATAACATAGCCTAAGATACAAACAAAACATAGGTACATATTTTACATATATTAATTTTTTCTTTACAAAAAGCGCTCATACTGTACATATTACTTTGTACTTTGACTTTTTTCACTTATCATTGTTACATAACTATCCTTCCAGATCAATATATAGAACACTTTAAAAAGTAGCTGTATAATATTCCTTAGTATAAATGTATCATAATTGATTCAACTATTTTCCTGTTGATGGATATTTGGGTAGTTTCCAGGGAATTTTATTAATTTTTTGTTAATATAAAATTTTTAAATATTAAATTCAAAATTTAATGAATCTAAAAAATGATAAATATCCCTTCACACACATTCTTACACAATAGGAGAGAATTTACTCATGAGAATTCTGGTCAAAGAGTATATGAATTTTTAAAAAAAGAATTTCTGGTTGGCAAGGATGGTCAGATATTACAGAATACTTGAAAAGCAACTTTAAAGTTTTACTCTCCAAAACACGTGCTTGCTATTATTTACTATTACTCTCTAGAAAACATTGAAAAACTTTGTACATTGTACAAGAGTGTCAGTTATTTCCCATCCTCATGAATATTCATGATGGTTTTAGGAACTCTACACATAATAGGGTAATATTTGGGATATTAATCTTTATTATAAATGTTTTTCTAGTTTATCATTTGCTTATACAAAAGTTTTAAATTTATGAAGTCCAACAAGTTTACTTTGTAGTTTTGAGTTTTTGTCTTACTTGAGAGAATTCCCTCTACTCCCACTCTTATTTCTCAATAAGCTTTAGCTAATAAGAAAATTAAATGAGTATAAACATGAAAAAAGAAGAGATAAAATGATATTTTTTGCTTTGCAGATACTGTGATTTTTACAAATTGAAGTTATGTGGCAACTCTGAATATGCAGAGCAATTCTATCGGTGCCATTTTTCCAACAGTATATGTTCACTTTATATTTCTGCATCACATTTTGGTAATTCTCACTATATTAAAATTTTCTCATTATTACATCTATTGTGGTGACCTGTGATCAGTAATCTTTGACATTTTAGTGTAATTGTTTTAGAGCAATATGTACCACGCCCATATAAGACTGAAAATTCATTCAATGTGTTTGTTCTGACTGCTCCACTGACTGGCCATTCTCTCTCTCTCTCTCTCTCTCTCTCTCTTTCTCTCTCTCTCCCCACCCCCACTACAGACCTCCCTATTACCTGAGACACAATAATATTGAAACTGGACCAATTAATAACCCCACACTGGTCTCTAAGTGTTCAAGTGAAATAAATAATCATATATCTCTCACTTTAAATCAAAAACTAGAAACGACTAAGCTCAGTGAGGAAGGCATGTCAAAAAGGCTGAGATAGGCTAAAAGTTAGGCCTTATGCACTGAACTGGTAACTGTGAATGCAAAAAGAACAAAAAACAAAAAAGTTCTTAAAGGAAATTAAAAGTGCAATTCCAGTGAACATACAAATGATAAGAAAGTGAAGTGAACCAGCTTTATCACTGATATGCTGATATGAAGAACATTTGAGTGGTCTGGAGACAAGATCAAACCCGCTACAACATTCTTTATGCCAAACCTAATCCAGAACAAGGCCCTAACTCTCTTCAATCCTAGCAAGGCTGAGAGAAGTGAGTAACCTTCGGAAGAAAAGTTGGTTCACGAGGTTTAAGAAAAATGTGTCTCTACAATGTAAAAGTGCAAGAAGCAGTGGCAGCGCTAATGTAGAAGCTGCTGTGAGTTCTCCAGAAGTCCTAGCTGAAATCATTGAAGAAGGTGGCTACACTAAATAACAGGTTTTCCACGTTGACAAAACAGCTTTCTGTTGGAGGAAGATGCCATCCAGGACTTTCATATCTAGAGAGGAAAAGTCAATGCCTGACTTCAAACTTAGGAAAAACAGTCTGACTCTCTTGTTAAGGGTTAATGCAGCTGATGACTTTAAATTGCGGCTAACCATTCCAAAAATTCTAGGCCCCTACGAGGTATGTTAGATTGACTCTGACTATGCACTATAAATAGAATAGTAGAGCCTAGATGATAGCACATCTGTTGAAAACACAGTTTTAAAAAAATATTTTAAGCCCACTGTTGACACCTACTGCTCAGGAAAAAATCTACCTTTCAAAAATATTAGGGCTCATTGACAGTGCACCTAGTCACCCAGCGCTCTGATGGAGATGTGCAAGGAGATAAATGTTGTGCCTGTTAACACAACGTGAATTCTGCAGCCCATGGATCGGGGAGTAATTTTGACTTTGAAGTCTTTTTATTTAAGAAGTACGTTTTACAAGGCTACATCTGCAATAGTGATTCCTCCACGGGAACTAGGCAAAGTAAACTGAAAACCTTCTGGAAAGGATTCCCCATTCTAGATGCCATTAAGAAAATTCATGATTCATGGGAGGAGGTCAGAATATCCACATAAATAGGGGCTTGAAAGAAGTTGATTCCAACCCTCATGGATGACGCTGAGGGTTCAAGATTTCCAAGGGAGTAACTGCAGAGGTTATAAAAATAGCAAGATAACTAGAATCAGAAGTGGAGTCTGAAGATGTGCTGCATTAAATTGCTGCAATCTCATGATAAAACTTGAATGGATAAGCAGTTGCTTCTTATGGATGAGCAAAGGGGTTTCTTGAGAGGAAATCTACCCCTGGTGAGAATGCTATGAACACTGTTGGAAAGCTTACAAAGGAGTTAGAATATTACATAAACTTAGTTGATAACGTAGTTGATAGCGTTTGAGAGAACTGAATCCAATTTTGAAAGATTCTACTGTGGGTAAAATACTATCAATCAGCATTCACCTGCTATGGAGAAATCTTTCATGAAAGGAAGAGTCAATTAATGAGGCAAACTTCATAGTTGTCTTCTGAGACTTGGCACTCTAGCTTTCAGCAGCCACCACCGTGATCAGTCAGTTGCCATTAATAAATTAAGAAATGTACATTGTTTAATTTTTAGACAAAATGCTATTATTGCATAGTTAGTAGAATACAGTATAGTGTAAACACAACTTTTATATACACCAGGAAGCCAAAGAATTCGTGTGACAGGTTTTATTGCAATATTCTCTTTATTGTGTTGCTCTGAAGCCAAACCTGCAACATCTCAGAGCTATGTCTGGCATTTGATTATATATCTAGAAAACCCAGTAGACTATATTACATTTTTTAAATTATAATTTATAAGAGAGCTTAGAAAGTCCTTAAGATAAATATACAAAAACTAATAGCTTTCATCTCAACTTACAACATTCATTTACAGATACAAGTGAGAAAAACATCTCATTCAAAATACATGAGAAAAATACATGAGAAAAAGTGGGGACATATTAATATCACTATAAATCTTGCTAAAAACTAGAGTCTTGTTTGTATGTTTCTCAGGAAGATTTAGTATCCCCACAATAGCAACCCTAATGTGTGTTTATGTGTGTATATGAATTCAACCAGAATCAAAATGAATTTTTTTAAAGAAATCAACATGAGTATAAAGTACATTAGAATAATTAACATCCGGTAATAAATAAGACAATTTTGAAGAGGAAAAATTAGTATGCAGAGATTTGCCTTACCAGATATTTAAAATGTATTGTTATAAGAATTAAAACAACAAGTACAAAACAAATAAAAAGAATGAATAAGACCTACTATTTGATAGCATGATGGGTGACTATAGTCAATAATTTAATTGTACATTTAAAAATAACTAAAAGAGTGTAATCAGATTGTAACACAAAGGATAAATGCTTGAGGGAATGGATACCCCATTCTTTATAATGTGCTTATTTTACATTACATGCTTGTATCCAAACATCTTATGTACCCGATAAATATACAAACCTACTATGTATCTTTCTACAAAAATTAAACAAAAATTCAAGTTTAAAGAATTAAAACAATAGAGTTTTAGACAGACTAAGTCAAATCGATCAATTCAAAGAATAGAGAATGCCCAGATAGTTTCAAGAATATATGGGAACTTAACATTCACAATGGGAGGAAAGATTTCAAACCAGTGGAAAATAAAATTTTAAATAATCTATATTTAAAAATTTTTTTTGGAGTATTTTCTATCCAGCTTCCCTAAAACAAAGCCAAATCTACCTAATCTACCTCACACCAATCTTAAGATAAATTTGACCTGGGTAGAAATCTTATTTTTAAAACAACAACAAAAGTATTAGAAAAATTCTGGGAATTTCCTCTTTTTGAAAAGATAAGTGTTTATAAGATAATTAGATGATATTCTCTGAATTCTAGGGATAGTAAATAACCTTCAAAAGCTCCTTGTAGATTGAAAGACAAGAAAATAGAAGAGAAGATTATAACTTATTTATTAAGCGTGAGTTCAAGAGTAAGGGGAATAGACTATAATACTCCAATGATGAGAGCGAAATTGGAACAAACTTCTTTAAGCAGTAGTGTAATGCGTATCAAAATCTTCCAAAGTGATTATATGCTGATTCAGTGATTACATTTTGAGTACTAAGAAGATAATTGAAGATGTGGCAAGCTCAATGTAAAATGATATAAATTTCTTATAAAGAGGAAAAAACCTGGGGAGAAAACATAACCAGAGAATCCTTTAAGACATGACAGTACATGAGAATGATGTATTATACAGTCATTAAAAATCTATTGTAGAAGAATACATAATGATGAAAATATGTTCATCTCAGATTATTTTAGGGGAAAAAGAAAGACTGCAACACATACATAGAGTGTAACCTGAAGTCTGTGGGAAACACATGTACTTACAGGAAAAGCCTAGATGAATTGAAAGTGAATTATTTATAGGGATTCCCCCTGAGTAAGAGGATTCTATGTTCCATTGAAATTCTGCCATATCATTTTTGATTAAACAGCCTGGGAGTTGAGATGTTCTACAGTACAGCACTATCAGTCCAGTGAGTTTTTTTTCTTCCAAGAGCCTCACAGACCATAGTAAACTTTTAAAATTGTACTTAAAATTTTTTCCCCTTTTTTTGTTTTTTAGAGAACTTGTTAACATATCCTTTTTTTTTTCTTTTAGGTTCAGGTTTCTAAAGATTTTTGTCATAGAAAGTGGGTAGAGATGTTGGAAAGGAAATTTGGCACTCTTCACTTTAATCTAAACACCTGGTTTTATAAAGGTCTAGCCTTCTCTTACACACGTGTGTAAGTCCCTTGAACAAGGCTGTGGGTTTTGAGGTTTATACACCACAGCTCTGTTTACCTTAATCAGAAAGTCAGCTTTTTGACACCTGCAAGATTCTAGATAAAAATTGTTTCTTTCCCTCAGTTTTCTGACTGGGCTCCTGAAGAGGCTGCCCAGGATGACAACTCCTCTGTTCCTGAGGTTAAACCACAGCCTGGGGTCCTGTGTGAGTAAGGAGCCTTCCCTGCCCCTCGCCTCCAACCTCTAGAGGATGCTATTGAGTCTTGATGAAGCTGAGCCTCTGGGCCTGAAAACAGTTTCAGAAATGAGTATCAGGAAAGCTAGACTCCGAGGAAATCCAAAACCTTGACAGATTTTGGTGCATGTCATACCGTGATTCTGGGCACTGCCTAGGAGACACAGTGCTTTAGCTGCTGTTGCCAGTGTTAGAAGTGGTAGAAAAGGTGGCTTGAGGATATCCCAATCCCACTAGGTCCTGTTCCATAGGAAACATGCAGGTGATTGTCAGAATGCTCTAAGGAAAGAATGCCAATACCAGTTAATATACTTCTATTTCCCCTCCTATAGCTTACCCCTTGGACTTGGGAAGAATCTGTAGCAAGTCTTGTTGTCAGTGCTCCAGGGCTATTTCTCAGGTCATCAAACCAGCCAATGTCTTGCCCCAACATTGCCCTGAAACCAAATTTACGTAGCCTTTTTGTTAGGAGCTCCCCAGATTTAGCAAAGGCATATCCCTAAAACATGAATAAGGAGATTTTAGAGACATGTTAATGAGAAAAAAGGAAAAATAACAAAATCGCTTACTGAAAAATAACATTTCTTACCTGTAGAAACTGAGTGAAAAGAGATACACAGCCCATTGCTACAAAAAGTAGGCACACACCGTTGATCTGTGACCTTTGTTCCTCTTTATCAGGAAGTGCAAAAGTCTTGGAAAGATAGTAAGCAAGAAAGTAACTTTATTATTAGAAACAAAAGAAAAATAAAATACATTTAAATGTTTAAAATGGATTTTTCTTGCCATGTCATTTCCAAATTTATAAAATGTACAACACCAAGAGTGAACGCTAATGTAAGCTGTGGATCTGGCTGATAATGATGTATCAATGCATGTTCATCAATTGTAGCAGATGTATCATTCTGGTGGGAGATGTTGATAATAAGACTTGTGTGGGAGCAGGGGTTATGAGAAATCTCTGTATCTTCCTCTAACTTTACTGTGAATCTAAAAGTTCTCTAAAAAATAAAGTCTTTTAAATAATGGTTTCACTTTAGACATGCTAGTAATTAAACCAAAGTTAGCTAAGAATATGATGATGATGCCCCGCTGTGGGGTGGAAAACCTGGCGAATGAAAACCCATGGTGATGACTAACAGAATTTTTGTCTTGTTTCTTTGCCTTTTAGGCAATCGTGTTGGTTTTTCATTGACAGAGATGAAAAGGATGATAAAATGACTTGAATCATTTAAGTAATAATGCTGAGAAAGAAGGAGGAAAAGAAGGAAGGGAAGAAGGAAGAAAGTAAGCAAAGAGGGAGGGAATGCAAGAGGGAGTCAGAAAGGAAAGGGGGAAGCTAGGAAAGAAGGAAGGAAGGGAGGGAGGGAAGGAAAGAGGAAATTGAGATCTGGAAATGTTATCTGGGACAAAACTCAAAGTAATATTAACATTTTGACCTATGTTTTTCTCAATTACTAGAGGAAAGAAAAGATGACTTTCACTCACGTAATTTGCCAGTTAATTAGTTTTATAGAATATACATCATTTAAAAAAGAAACTATCAAAGCATTGACTGTCATTGTCTTAGGAGAGAAAAAAAAATCATTCATCGGATATTGAGGTTGTTGTATCTAAATCACCAGAAGCTGAAACATTTCCCCACTCCCTAAAAAACTATAGCAACTGTTAGGGAGAGTTTTTAGTCTATAAACTGCACTCAAACATATTCTGAATTTACAGATATTTGTTCAAGTAACTGATTGAGGATCTTGTTGCAATATGAAAAATAAAAGAACATACTCCAATGACATTGCCTTGTGATGAAATGGATTTTGAACATAACAGAACCTTTGTTATTCAGACCAGGTGAAGTAACTAGAAAGTTGAGAAGAAGTATGCACTAGAGAGCTATACAATACATCTTTATTCATTTTCCTGAATTAATTTGAGTCATTAAAACAGTGTCAACAAACAGTTGCTCAAAGGAAACCATTTATTCAAAAATATTTACTAAGTACCTACTATTTGCCAGATAACTCTCCTTGGAAACAATATGTACTACTCCATTAACAAATCCTTTTTTTGTAAAGCAAAAGTAACCTGTTCAAATTATCACAAATTACAAAGTGGGTAGGAGGGGTTCTAAATTAACGAGATTTTACTGTTTGTAGAAAAAAGGGCCTTCATGGTGCTTAGTATTGGTTAAAGTAGGTTCAGAACACAGCACAGTAATTCTTCCCAGCATAAAACTTTATGGCACCACATAACCAGAAATTCAGTTAACCAAAGTTGAAGGTTTGGGTGTTTCCAATTCTCTGCCTTTCTTCACTTACCACAAGGGGGCGATGTGAAAACTACAGTGGTGGCTGAGGCCCTCCTTACGCAATGGACTTGATTTTGTTTGAGGATTATCCAGGTTTTTCTATACAACTCATGCTTGTGGGGACATTTTTATAGTCAGGAGAGGTGACAGGAGAGAAAGAAATGGAGAGAACTAAAATGTAAGCTTTCATTATTTACTAAGCAATGGCAATGTGATATGTTGGCAAATTCTACAGACTCGGATTCAGGAAACCTGGGCTCTAGTCCTGGCTCCATCACCTAATGGCAGCATATATATATGTGTGTATATATCCTATTAGTTCTGTCCCTCTAGAAAACCCTAATACAGACCAGTAGTGGGATTACTGAAAGAAATGGTAGTTCTATTTTTAGTTCTTTGAGAAATCTCCATGCTGTTTTCCATAAAGGTTGTACGAATTTATATTCTCATAAATGTAAATTTAATTAATTTACATTAATTGTAATGTAATCAATACATTACATTAATGTATAAGCATTCCTTTTTCTCCACATCTTTGCTAACATCTGTTGTATTTAGACTTTTTAGTAATAGCTGTCCTGACTGGTATAAAATGGTATCTCTTTGTGGTTTTAATTTACATCTCTCTGATGATTAGTGATGTTGAGCATTTTTTCATATGTTTGTTGGCTGCTTGTATGTCTTCTTTTGAAAAATAACTGCTCATGTCCTTCATCCACCTTTTTATGGAATTATTTGGTTGTTGCTTGTTGAGTAAGTTGAGTTCCTTACAGATTCTGAATATTAGCCCTTTGTTGGATATACTATTTGTAAATATTTTCTCCAATTGTGTAAGTTGTTTATTTACTCTGATGACTGCTTCTTTCACTGTACAAAAGCTTGTTAGTTTCATTAAGTCCATTTGTCTATTTTTGTTTTAGTTGTGTTTGCTTTTGAGGACTTTGTCATAAATTCTTTGCCTAGGCAAATATCTTGAAGAATTTCCTAGGTTTTCTTCTAGTATTTTTATAGTTTTTGATTTATGTTTAGGTGCTTTATCTATCTTGAGTTAATTTTTGTAAATGATGAGAGGTATGGGTCTAGTTTCTTTCTTCTGCATACTGCTATTCAATTTTTCCAGCACCTTTTATTGAGTAGAGTGCAATTTTCCCAATGCATATTTTTGTTGACTTTGTCAAAGATAATTTGGTTTTAGGTATGTGGCTTTCTTTCTGGGTTCTCTATTCTGTTCCATTGATCTATGTGTCATTTATGTATCTCTGTAGTATAATTTAGTCAAGTAAGATGATACCTTTAGCTTTCTTCTTTTTGCTTAGGATTGCTTTGGCTATTAGGGCTCTCTTTTTGGTTCCATATGAATTTTAAAATTGTTTTTTCTAATTCTGTGAAAAATGACATTGGTAATTTGATAGGGATTTCAATGAATCAGTAGATTGCTTTGGGAAGTATGGTCATTTTAATGCTATTAATTCTTCCAATCCATCAGCATGGGATATTTTTCCATTTGTTTGTGACATGTATGATTTCTTTTATCAGTGTTTTGTGGTTCTCTTTAGAGAGATCTTTCACCTCCTTGATTAAATGTATTCCTAAGTATTTTTTGTAGCTACTGTAAATGGGATTACCTTCATGATTTGGCCCTCAACTAGATCAATATTGGTGTATAAAAACACTATTAATTTCTGTACATTAATTTTGTATCCTTAAACTTTACAGAATTCATTTACTAAATTTAAGTTTTTGGTGAAGTCTTTAGGGTATTCTATATGTAATATTATATCATCAACAAATAGGGATAATTTAGCTTCCTCTTTTCCAATTCACATGCCTTTTATTTTTTCTCTTGCCTGATTGCTTTGCCTGATTATTCCCAGTACTATGTTAAATAAGAATGGTGAAAATCCTTGTCCCAATTCTTAGAATTATTTCAACTTTTCCCCATTAAGTATGATGCTGGCTGTTGGTCTGTAATATATGGCTTTTATTATGTCGAGGTTTGTTCCTTCTATGCCTAACTTGTTGAGAATATTTATCAAGAAGGAATGATGAATTTTGTTGAATGTTTTTTCTGCATCTATCAAAATTATTATATGGGTTTTCTCCTTAATACTGTTTATGTGATATATCATGTTTATTGCTTTGTGTATGTTGAACCATCCTTGCATGACTGATAAAAATCCCACCTGATCATGGTGTATTATCCTTTTGATGTGCGCTTGGATTCAGTTATTTTTGTTAAGGATTTTTACATCTATGTTTATCAGAGATATTGGTCTGTAGTTTTCTGTTTTTGTGATGTCCTTGTCTGGTTTTGGTATCAGGTGATATTGGTCTTGTAGAATGAGTTAGGGAGAATTCTCTCCTCTTTGATTTTCTGAAATATCAGGAGGATTGGTATTAGCTCTCTGAATATTTGGTAGAATTCAGCTGCAAATCCTTCTTGTCCTGGGCTTTTCTTTTTTTGTTAGAAATTTTTTTTATTACTGACTCAATCTTGCTACTCATTATTGGTCTGTTCAGGTTTTCGATTTCTTCCTGATTTAATATTGGTAGGTTGCATGTTTCCAGGAATTTATCTATTTTCTCTAAATTTTCCAGTTTAGTTGTTCATAATAGTCTGTGATAATCTTTTGTATTTCTGTGATATCTGTTATAATGTCTTCTTTTTCATTTTTGATTGTGTTTATTTGAATCTTCTCTCTTCCTGATTAGTCTAGCTAGCAGTTTATCAATTTTATCTTTTCGAAGAAACAAGTTTTTTTGTTTCATTGCTCCTTTGTATTTTTCTGTTTCTATTTTGTTTAGTTCTGCTCCAGTAATTTTTATTTCTTTTCTTCTGCTAACTCTGGGTTTGAGTTTCTTGTCCTTTTTCTAGTTTCTTGAAGTGCAATGCTAGGTTGCTAATTTGTAATCTTTCTACTTTTTAATGTGGACATTTAATGCTATCATCTTCCCTCTTAGCACTGCTTTTGCTGTATCCCAAAGTTTTTGGTATGTTGTGTTTTCATTTTATTCATTTAAAACTTTCTTCTAATTTCCATCTTAATTTCTTCATTGAGCCAGTGACTGTTAAAGAGCATGCTGTCTAATTTCCATGTATTTATATAGTTTCCAAAGTTCTTCTTGGTATTGATTTCTAGTTTTATTTCACTGTGGCCTGAGAAGATACTTGATATGGCTTCAGCTTTTTAAAAAATTCATTAAGACTTTTCTTGTGACCTAATATCTGGTCTATCTTGCAAAATGTTTCACATGCTGATGAAAAGAATGTAGTTGTTGGGTAGAGTGTTCTGTAAATGTCTGTTAAGTTTGGTTTAAAGTCCAATTTATGTGCAATGTTTGCTAATTTTTTCTGACATGATGATCTGTCTAGTGTGTGAGTGGGTCTT